GTAAAATGTTGAAATGGTCCTTACATTTGCCCTTACTTGAATTTACGTCCATTACATTAACATTTCAACATCGTAGTTCCAAACTTTATGTGTTCACACTTTTTTGGTCCCATTTTACTGTTTCGACCACATTTCTGTTCAACTCGATGTTGACTGGCCATTGACATGCCGGTGTCAGGGGTATTTTCATCCTTTCACGTAATTGACTTTCCATCAAATTAAAATCATTAAAAATATTAAAAAAATTCATATTTTAAATTATTTAAATACTATTTATTAATTTAAAATATTAATATAATATTTTAAAATTTATATTTTTTAAAAAATAATTTTTTCATTTATCATTTATCTTAGATAAAAAGTAAACCGTAATTATTCTACATTTTGAGTGAAAATGAAAAAACTAAGTCTCCAGCTTACTAACTTTCAACAACAATGGGTAAGACTGCTAAGTTGGGCAAAAATCCCCTTCCCCTCTTCTGATCGATTTTAGACATCGCCGTACGTCCCAACGTGCAGACCGCCATGGTTTTCTATGTGGTCCATGTCACTCAAACCGATTCGGATTCTGATGGGATCTTCTAAAGTGGGATCGCCGACGAGTTTCTCCTTCACCTGAAGGAGATGAAGGCTCTTATGCCTGTGGCGGCGGTTCCGGCAAAACCAAGAACAGATCTGGCCGGAAACAAGGGATCTGAAGGCTAGATCCGGCCCCTTTTGGTCTTGTCCGGCGGCTATCTATAGAAGCCCATGGGGTTCCACCTCAAAACCAATTGGCAATGAGGGGAGTAGCCCATGATGCTTATATACTGATACAAAGTATCTCCAGACACCAATGTGGGATAAATACTTTAACACTCCCCCTCAAGCCCAACGGGCTTGGACTAAATCACCAGGATCATGAAATAAACCGTGGAATAACATCACGGGCCGCGGAATAACGTCGCGGACTTAAATTGGACCACGGAATAACATCGTGGGCTTAAAATCACCACAGGCCGAGCCCGCTCTGATACCATATAGAAGCACATGGAGTTCCACCTCAAAACCAATTGGCAATGAGGGGAGTAGCCCATGATGCTTATATACTGATACAAAGTGTCTCCAGACACCAATGTGGAATAAATACTTCAACACTATCCTCTTCCTATGTGTGATGATGAACTTTCCATGTCTAAGCATATTATTGTAATAAAGTTTATGAAGATGTAGGTGTGTGTTTCATCACCAACACTTTGAATTTTCGAATTTACTAGATATTATATGCTTTAGATCTTTTTGGGTTAGTTTTTTTTTAAAAAAAAGAGTGAAAATGAAAAAATTATTTTTTAAAAAATATAAATTTTAAAATATTATAATAGTATGTTAAATTAATAAATACTATTTAAATAATTTAAAATATGAATTTTTTAATATTTTTAATAATTTTAATTTGATGGAAGGTCAAATTACGTGAAAGGACGAAAATATCCCTGACCCCGGTATGTCAACGGCCGGTCAACATCGAGTTGGACGGAAATGTAGGCGAAACAGTGAAATGAGACTAAAAAAGTGTGAAAACATAATGTTTGGGATTAGGATATTGAAATGTTAATGTAAGGGACGTAAATTCAAGTAAGAGCAAATGTAAGGGAACATTTCAACATTTTACTCCGTTGTACAAATGTATCACTAAAATTTTGAGTGATAGGTTGGGTAGAGTCTTACCATAGCTTATTAGCCCTAACCAAGGGGCATTTGTAAAGGGTAGATCATTTAAATATAACGTGCTGCTTACTCAGGAACTAGTTAGACTATACAGGCGTAAAGTTGTAAGCCCTAGATGTTCGCTAAAGGTAGATTTAAGGAAGGCCTATGATTGTGTTAGCTGGGCATTCCTTCATGAGGCTCTGGTAGGTTTTGGTTTCCCCATGAGATTCATAAAGTGGATTATGCAGTGTGTGACTACCTGTACCTTTTCGCTGAATCTGAATGAGAATTTGGTAGGATTTTTTAAAGGGAGGAGGGGGATTAGACAAGGAGACCACGTCTCCCCATTGTTGTTTGTCATTGTGGTGGAATATCTTATCCGTATGTTTAAAGAAGAGATAAGAAAGAGTACAATCCAGCTCCATCCCCTGTGTGAGAATTTGGAGATAGTGAACTTATACTTTACAGACGACTTAATAATAGTTTGCAAAGCAGAGGAGAACACTATCTCCACTGTTATGAAAAAGTTAGAAGAGTTTGGAGCCACAACTTGATTGTATGCAAATTGGAAGAAATCTCAAATATATGTGGGAGGAGTTCCGGAGGAAAAGAGGGAGAGAATTGAGGCTTGTGTGGGTTTTGAAAGGGGTAATTTCCCATTGAAGTATTTAGGATTCCCTTTATCACCAGGAATGTGGACTCAAAATGATTGTTAGGGCTTAGTGGAAAAGATTGTAGGTAGATTGAAGAGTTGGACATCTCAGAATTTATCTTATATGGGGAGAGTACAACTCTGATCAACTCAGTATTAATGCATATGCATACATAATGGGCGTTAGTCTATTTAATTCCAAAAAGCGTGGTGGTGCAGGTGGAAAGGTTATGTAGGGAATTCCTCAGGGGGAAGAAGGGTTCAGGAAAAGTGCTCTCTTTGGTTGCCTGGCATAAAGTGTGTAAAGGAAAAGAAGTAGGAGGCTTGGGAATCAAGAACATTGGGGTGTGGAATGAAGTGGCAGTGGGTAAAAATGTGTGGGAGTTTGCTTAAAAGAAAGACAATCTCTGGATAAAGTGGATGCATGGAGTTTACTTGAAGAATGGTGGCTTTTGGGAAGTCTCTCCAACTCAGGACTCCAGTTGGCACTGGAAGAAACTTCTGGGGATTAGAGAAAAACTCAGGGAAGGGTATGTGCAAAACAAATGGAAAGCTCATCAGAATGGAAAATATATAGCATAGCTTCTGGTGTTCAATTTTTAACAGGAGTGGTACCTAAACAAAAAGCTTCAGTACTCATCTGGAACAGATTGAATGTCCCTAGACATTGTTGTATTGTTTGGTTAAGCTGGCAGGGGAGATTTCTTACAAGGGAAAGGCTAAAACAGATGGGAATGGAGATAGTTGATGATAATTACCGTTTGTGTAGCAAAAATCTCAAAACGGTGGAGCATTTATTTATCAACTGTCAGTTTGCAAAAGAATTGTGGCACAAATTGAGAGCCTGAATAGACAGACTTTCCTGTGACTTGGGTAAAGGGGAGAAATTGGGGAAAGTTGGACTTTGCCTGGAAGGGGAACAACATCAGGAAACAGGTGATTTCGGCTATCATTGTTGCAGGGTACTACCACATTTGGAAGGCCAGAAACCTTAAAATTCATGAAGGTGAAATCATGTCTGTTGAGCTGACTGTGGAGGAGATTCGCAGAGAACTGAAATGGAGGATGAGAGGCAAGTTGCACAAGCTTAGACCAAGTGATCAAGCTTTTTTGCAGGCTATTTCTCTTTGGTAACCGAAGATTGAATCTCGGTTCTTATCATTTTGTTTTGTATAGAGATATAGCTATGTTAGGTAAATGTAAATATGTGATCCTTTTGTGAACCTTGTTTGTGAAAAGCAGCAATATATTTACATTTTACCTAAAAAAAGATGATTATCCAAACGATGATTATCCAATTTCACAAATGCGTCCAGTTTCGTTCACTGAAATCGATTTGCACAACCTGAAAAACAACAATTCAATACATAGTTAACTACAACACTATATTCTAAATCCAAAATTAAGGAAAAGAAAAGCAAGATATTTGGATACACATTGTCAAATATTACTTACACAATTGGTGCCCTCCTCTCGCCTTCTTGGTTGTTAGTCTCTTACTCATCTTTCATCAAACAGAGGCCGTCTCCTCTTATATCGGAGTTCAAACACCGCCAATCTCCTTCCATCAAATCGAAGGGGCCAACTCCGCTCATATTTAACACTATCGTTGTTGGACGCCTCCAACTCCACCTGTCGCTTACCTCCCAAGGGGATTTATGCTCCAACCCAAGTTAAGAGAAGCGGCCAGAGGAAACTTCAGACGGCGTGGTGGTGCTGGATGTCGAGGCCGGATCGGAAAAAAAGAATAAAAAATTTGTAGCGGCTAGAATCTTTTGAATCATTTTGCTGCTTTTGATGTCTGCATTGAGATTTAATTTTCTAGAATTAGGAGATTTCATTTGCAGAATCTTCTCCTGAGCGAGAGGTAGGATGATGTGATAAGTTTTTCTTGAAATTTGATTTTATTAATGGAGAGATTGATTATAATCCTGTACTGAAATTGGGGATATTGGAGCAAAAATCTGGATCCCATATTATAGACTTACAGTAAGTTTAAATAAATACACTTATTGTAATTGATTTTGTTTTACTGAAGATTAGAATGTAGCACTATAATTAAGCAAAGTAGCTAGCTTATCATTTTTTCCTGAAAATTTAGTGTTAAATGTCAAAATTTAGAGTGTCAAATGTCAAAAATGATTTTTTTCGAGGGAAAATTTTTATTATGATGCTGACACATTAGCAACTTGTATATTGTTTTAATTAAGTAATATAGATTTAAACTAAAAATAAAAATTTAAACTAAACAATATAATTAATAATTATGGGATAGAGGAAGTAACAATTAGCAAAACCACTACTCCTATCTCCTGCTTTCGTTGCTGACATTGTTTCCGTTGAACCGGCCGAAGAATCAATTGAGCGCAGATGGCGGCCGCCAAATTGTGAGAACCAACCCAAAAGCAGAATAATTGTACAAGGGCTTTTCCAAGGCCCAAATTTCGGAATCCAGGCCAAGGCCTTTTTACATACTCAGTAGTCAGCCCAATACAATATGAAATGATCCGAACTGTAAAACCCTATAGAAATCTTCTCCTCCTTCCTACCTTAAACCCCCAAAAGGGGAAAAAATAAAAAATAAAAAATCGATCACTGGATTTAAGGTTTTCGGACAAAATCAGCGTCCAAGCTTTTTCTCAGAAAAACAGAGAATAAAATGGGGAAGAAGAACAAGATTAAACCGGCCGGCGGGGAAACCCAGCACAGTCCTTCGACTGTCTTCGTCGCTGGCTTGCCGTATTCCTTGACCAATACTCAGGCACTGCACTCTTTCTTTCATTTAACTTTTGTCACTCTTGTCATCATTTGTGTAGTAATCATTCAGTTTTTGAGTCCTTAATTATCCATTTGTTGTTGAATTTATAGCTGGAAGAGGCATTTAGTGAAATTGGACCGATAAGGCGATGCTTTATGGTTACTAAGAAGGGTATGCTCACTTCTCTGAAGCTAAGTTTTGGCACCATTGTGTTCCTTGTTTCTGTTGATGATTTTTTTTTTTTTTGTTTCTTCCTGGAGACAGGTTCAACTGAGCATCGTGGCTTTGGCTTTGTTCAATTGTAAGTTTGTGTTGAATGGTTTTATTTGTAAGAATTCACAGCATTTTCATCATTCCCCCTTACATTCCTGTTTGGCTACATTGTTAAATTTGAATTTGCTTACCCTTTTATATGAGTTTGGCTCCATCTTCTCCAATACAGTGGCTTAGAAATCTGTGTTTCTGTTCTTTGTTTAAATGTTGTGCTGTATGTATGATGCTCGTGCTTTAATTTTATAATGTCCTATGTTTGGGATTTCAGTGCTGCTGTTGAAGATGCTGATCGTGCTATTGAGGCTAAGAATGGATCTATGGTTGGGGGTCGGAAAATCCAGGTGAAGCATGCTACACATCGTGCTCCTTTGGAGCAACGGCGAAATAAAGGAAATAAAGGTTTGTGATGTTTTCTAGGTTTCCATTGGTTTATTGGTGTTTCACCCGCAATTTCCTGAACATAGAGATGTGCTTATTCATGGTGTGATCGATATCTGTTGTATTCTTTTCCTTAGAAACTCAATCAAACAGTGTTGTGGAGCCAGAAGATGAAAAGGTCAATTTATCATCTGAGGCAACAAAGCACGAGGGTCCTGTGAACGCACAGTTAACAGGTTCCCGGCTATGATTCTATTTTTTTATTCTTTTGTTTTCAAACCTCCATCGTTGCTGTGATCTTAGTTTTGGATTTTCTTCATGCTAGTCGTGAAAGAAAGTAAGGAGGTCCACTCCACTCCGAAAAACAGTGCAGAGACAGTCCATCAAAGTGTTCCTGAGGACAAGCCGCCTTCAGAGAAGCAAAGGTATGGTGCCATTGTTGTCAAGGTTATACAATCTTTTGCTTACCTATTTTGTACGTCCTGGTGATATTTGGATGATAATTTTTCTTTATGCCTTCGTAAACTTATGTAGCCCCCCATAATGTTAAACAGAGTTGCGAAGACAGTCATTTTTGGAGGTCTTCTAAATGCTGATATGGCTAAAGATGTTCATCAACGTGCCAGTGAGTGTGGCACTGTGTGTTCTCTTAAGTACCCTCTTCCTAAAGAGGAGCTTGAGCATCATGGTAAGCTCATGACCTGAGTTGGTTTTCATAGTTCCTGATTTACGCATATTGCACCAATTTAAGGCTAGCAAAATTTTAACTTTCAAATCTGAATCTTGTTATTTGTTATCTGTTATATTAGTGTTCACATGATGTGGAGGAAAATCTCTTTCTAAAATCTCCATTTTTTAACATCAAGTTAGAACAAATGTGTCTCCATTGGAAACATATGGCCCTAAAACTGTAAACTTTTATAGGTCTAGCTAGAGAGGGATGCCAACTGGATGCTTCATCAATTCTTTTCACAAGTGTTAGGTCGGCACGAAATGCTGTTGCATCATTGCATCAAAAAGAGATTCATGGAGGACTTGTCTGGGCTCGTCAGCTTGGAGGAGAGGTATAGTTTATTCTTGTTAAGAGAATTTGTTTTTTCAAATGAATAAAAAAAGGTTTCTAGCAGTCCTGGCATTTCAATTAACAACTCTGTTGCATATATCTATAAAGTTTGCATTAGCTAATCAGTCTTGAAGTCATGATTTCTTTTCTTTTGAAAATGGTGGTTGGTTTTTTTTTTTTTTTTTTTTGGGGGCATGATGTGACTTCAATGGCTAGCTATTAATGGCAGTTTCCAGGTTCTAATCGCTAGCGTATTCTAATTTGGTCTTTATTGGGGGCCGTATTTTACTCTGATGATATGCTTTACCAGAGGGCATAGATCATCGATATATTTTACAGGTTATAAGGGATTCAAATTACTAAAATTGTTCAATGCTCAATTTGCATTGATTTTTTCGTTATGTTGCTGCACATATAAAAGCTACCCAGTATATAGGAATTTTTTACCCACGCAAACAAAGTTTATGGTTTAACTGCCACTCGGAATTGGACCTTTCATGTCGCAGATTGTGTATTTAATGGTTTGTTTTCCTTGACTTTTCCTTAAATAGTAACTTTTCCATATTGGCACTGTGATCTAGGGCTCCAAGACCCAGAAGTGGAAGCTTATAGTGCGGAATCTTCCTTTCAAGGTTTTTTCTCATTCTTTTTTCTTCTGTGGCTTGCTTTAGAACTTCAGCGGGTGGGCAATTTTGTCTTCCCTGTGTACATAATTTTCCATTTTGCTACAGTCAGCAAAAGGGAAGTAATCACAATAAGAGATAAAGAATTGAACTTTGATATTGAATTGATGGACAATCTGCAGGCTACTGTGAGTGATATAAAGAACATGTTTTCAGAGGCGGCTTTTGTGTGGGACGTCATTATTCCTCAAAATTCTGAGAAAGGGTATGTTTGTATCAAACTTTGTTATCCTTAGTCCAGTTCCGTGGTGTCTATCTGCAAGTAACTATTCCCACTTGTCTTTGGCAGGGGATCTAAGGGGTTTGCTTTTGTTAAATTAACATCGAGGCAGGACGCCGAAAAAGTATGCAGTTTTGTACATCCACACTTTCTTCCATCTGCAGAATTACTTTATTACCATTTGAAAATTGTATGTGTCAATTAGCTATGGGTTCAGTTCTGAGGAAATTCTTAGGGAGTTAAGGTACAATAGTGGGCCAGATTATTTCAAGTGGGGAGAATGACTGCAAGGCCTTTAGGGTTTTTTTGAACAAGCCTTTAGTCAGTGTAACCAGAGGCCTAGGGTCCAATTAGAATTTCGAGTAATTGGCAAATTTGGATTTTTCAGTTATTCAAAATGTTAAAAGTTTCAATTGTTGTTTATGCTTGACAGGTTATCAAAGATTTCAATGGGAAACATTTTGGTAAAAGACAAATTGCTGTCGATTGGGCTTTGTCAAAAAAGATCTATTCATCCGGTGGTAAATCTCTTGCTGATTCAGAAGGTAATGTATTATTCTTTTAAAGGAAAGTTTGGTTATATAAAATCTGAAATAGTGAAAGAAATGTGAACATTGAAGGTGTGATTTTAGTCTTGAAAAATATACTCTTGGACTCTATCTAAATCTAGAAGTATATCTTTTTGAACTCTGGTGAAGTTTTCTGTTTTCTGTTATGATGTTGTTTACCTCATGAAATACACATCCTAGTTAATTTCGTTATAGTACTCTTTTGGATCCATTGACTTGCGCTTTGGTGACCTCATTCCACATAGAGTCAGCAAAGGGTACACTTTCCCTTCTATACTTAATTATTTTTAAGTCATATATAACAATTCAGAGTAGTCTTCAACTAGATTTCGATGCTAGTAGCTTGCAATTGCAGATGACTACCTTATTGTGCTTTTCGAATTTTTTCATTCAGAGCCTGCCTCATCGATTAAACTTCTTCTGGAGTTTAATTTTAAGGTGCTGAGTATTATTTGATATGTACTACTGATGACAGGTCCTCCATACACATTGGCAGCTATTTGCTCTGTGATTCCTCTTTCAAAACTTTATTCTGCGATTATTATGTTTCCACATGCTAAGCTTGATAACATATTCCCTGCCCAAGGCCCGGGAAACAATCACTCTTTCTTTCCATACTTCTGACATGATTTTTACAGGGCAAAACAACGATGGAGAGGAGAGTGATAGCAGTGACTTGGAAGATGATGATGTGGAATATAATAACAATTCCTTGCAAGATAAAAAAGTTGATGCCATCTCAGATGAGTCCGACTCAGAACAAGAACGAGAAATTACTTTTGATGAAGAAGCAGATATTGCACGGAGAGTTCTCAATGCTATAACTTCATCAGCTTCTCAAGTGGCAGATATCTCTGATACTGATATGCCTGAGGAAAACGATGGTGATGTGAAATCTAGCATAACTGATGAATCACCCAATGCTAAAAATAAGCCTAAACTGAAACCAGGCGATGGGGAAGGCAAACTACTTGATAAAGACCCCACTCAGAGACAAGAAGAGCTACAAAGAACGATATTTATAAGCAACCTTCCATTTGATATTAGTAAGGAAGAAGTGACACAGCGTTTCCTGACATTTGGAGCTATAGAAGCCTTCTTTCCAGTTCTTCATCCGGTCACCAAGTATGGAATTTTTGTATTTATCGACTAAAACTGTACATAATATTTTGTTATTGTTTATATGAAAATACAATCTTGGATTATTCTATGCAGGCGGCCAAGGGGAACAGGATTTCTCAAATTTAAAACAGCAGATGGTGCTGATGCAGCAGTTTTGGCAGCCAATGCTGCTTCTGGTTTGGGTATCCATATCAAGGGTAGGCAATTGAAGATTTTGAAGGCTTTAGATAAGAAAGAAGCTCAAGAGAAGGTATTAGAGAAGTCTAAAGAAAAGGATGTTGACCACCGGAACCTGTATCTGGCAAAGGTTGGTTTGATCTTCAGGGACTTGTTATATATTCTTTAGACGTATACCTTATGTTTGCCACTTGCTGATGATGGATAACTGAGGTACACCCGAATATGATGCTTCCTTGTTTGAAACAGGAAGGTCTCATCTTGGAGGGGACTCCGGCTGCTGAAGGTGTTTCAACAAGCGATATGCATAAGCGCAAAATGTAAGTGTCTTTAAAGCATATATCATGGAAGGTTGCATTTATTTATTTTTAAAGTTATATGTGCTAAATGAAATGAAAAAATTCTTTCCAAGATAGATTGGGGAAAATGAGATTGTGGCTTAAATCAAGAAGCCTCTATCTCTACCTAATCTCCTTTGAAGAAATTTATGCTCAACTGGTCTGAGAAATTACTGAATGCCTTATTTGTTGGATAGCATGTTGGGAGTTCCGTTATATAGCAGCCGCAATTTTCTAATTTTGAATATGAACGGGTGTGTGTGTGTCTATATATATTATGTCCTTTTCACAGAGTGTACTTAAAATATCACTAAAAGCTGTGGGTGTCTGAAACAGAATAAAGGATATCATGTGTATCATCCCTGCAATATGTCATACTCACACTGTCCATTTCCAGCATCTTTCACTTAAAAATAGCTTGCAATATGTTTTATTTAAAAATATTACCACACTGCTATTTCCAATTAAGGAGCGTTGTGAATCTGCTTTGTTTTTCCAATCTGGAGAAGTAAGAAAAGAATCACGGCCAGTACAGGCTAATTAGAAGCCCTATTGTTTATAGGGTCTCCTGCATTTATGTTCAGTTTAATTCCTGGCCAGTTTGTGCATAGAAGTGTATTTTTGCTGCCTGTTTTGCAACCCTGCGGATTTTTTTTAATGCTTAAAGAAATTCCACAGGTTGAAAGAGAAAAAGGAGACTAAATTACGATCCCCAAACTTCCACGTGTCAAGGACAAGACTTGCAATATACAATTTGCCAAAGTCCATGAATGACAAGAAGTTGAAGCAACTTTGTGTAAATGCAGTTAAATCAAGAGCAACTAAGCAAAATCCTGATATTCGACAGGTTAAACACCTTCAACGGCAGTTGTGGTTTACAGCAAAAATTATTTGTATACACATATGCGCTTATGTTTGTATTATTATTTTGCAGGTAATAATCTTGAAAGATCCAAAGAAAGGAAATTCAGCTGGAAAGAATGATTCTCGTGGAGTTGCATTTGTTGAGTTCTCTGAGCATCAACATGCTCTTGTAGCCTTGAGAGTTTTGAATAATAATCCCGGTAATTACATTGTTTTCTTTTTTGAATGTTACAATCTACTTTGAGTGATGATTTGAAAATATATCAGCCGTCATGCATCTCCAATTAATTTGGTAGTAAAGATCTATTTTGACATGTCGTTGCATAACTGCAGAGACTTTTGGTCCTGAGCATCGCCCAATTGTAGAGTTTGCTGTTGATAACATGCTGAAATTGAGAAATAGGAAAGACATGCTTCTAGCCCGGAAGCAGCAGGGTTCCAGGAATGACCATGGGAATTCACAGGAGAATGACGAGTCTAAGGCAAAGGCTGATCATCCAAAAGAGAAGTCAAGAAAACGAAAATCCAGAAATGATTCTAAAGAAGATCCTAAAGCACCAGATGCTAAAATAGAAGGTGAAGTTGCTCCAGAGGAAGCTGGAGCTGGAAAGAAACAAAGAAGCCATTTTACTGGTAAGAAGGAGAAGAAGAAAGAGCCGACGAGCTCAGGAAAACAAATAGGTGACCACCAGAAACAGAGGAAACCTGATGAAGCTACAACCGTTGATGTCCAGAAAACTAGACTTCAGGAAAGAGGGCACCAGTTAAATAGTAGAAAGAGGAGGTTCCAAGAAGAACAATCACAACGGAAGGAACCCTTTAGTATGGAGAAAAGGAAGAAGAGCAAGAGGAATAAAGATCCTCAGGGACGAGATGTGGTGGATAGGCTTGACACTCTGATTGAACAATATAAGTCAAAATTCACACGGCCAAATTCAGACCAAACTGATCCCGAGAAACAAGGATCCAGAAAAATCAGGAGATGGTTCCAGTCATGAAAATTATCCGAGAGAATTTGGGTAAGGGTTTAACCACCTTTTTATCTCACTTATGTGGAGGTTTTTAACTCTACCGATCACACATTGCTATTACATTTGTCTAAAGTTTGCGGGAAAATGAGTCGAGCTTTTAGTTAGACCTCCTTGGACCGAGCTGACTAAATCATCCCAAGTTCATAAATGAACATCCATTATGGTAGACAGGGACGGGCATGTCCAGGAGCCTAGATATTTTGAAGGCTTCTTTCAAGTCATGTTCTCTGGTTATAAAGCTTAAATGTTTTATCCGTTTTCAGTTTTGTGCCGTGGCATCTCAAATTATCAAAAGATGTTTCTTATCTGTAAACAAAAGATACATTGTGCTTATCCAGTTGGAGAAGATGAAGGTAGGTGATGAGGAAATGTCATTGAAAACTCACCAATTTTGACTGATTTGATTGAGGAAGGACCCCTCACACTATAATATAATGTGTTGGCTGTGGCCACATGGTATGTTACTGCTTCTGCATTTGTCTCCTTTGTTACATACGTTAACATTTCAATCTCATTATTCATTCATACACGTATGTTTAAGGAAAGATACATTTGTTGACATTTTGTACGTCTTCGATTTGGTCTTATTGTTAAACAAACAAAGAGTGTATAGCAGGAAAACATGGAGGGTTGTCCCAACCAAAAATGGCTCTACCTTCTTGTGGCCCAATGTTTTTCTACTTGAATATGCAAGATTTTGAGATTGACGGGCTATCCGTGAGTCGTATTTATTTGTCCTTGTGATAAATTTAAATAACATAAATAAATTGCAGGGGCTGAAATTTCTGGACCATCTCTATGTATTGAGCTTTTTGGTCTGGCTAAAAAATTTCCGGAGTTTAACCATTTATGGTGCCTTTTTTTGAGTACTTCCACTGCACCAGTGACATTGTGGAATGTTGTTTTTTTTATCCCGACATTGACAATTTATTGGTCACGGGAATAAAACTGACAAATTTAACTACGTCTTTGTTCCAAATTTACTATTATTTTCGTCCCAAAAAAAAAAAAATAGTTCACATGGGGTTTTCAAATTTGTAAAAAATAGTACAAAACTCAAAACTCAATATGGACTATTTTTATGGAACGGAAGGAGTACGTTTTAACTCAGTTAGTAGGGAATTACAATTTACACCGACAATAAAAGAAATCATCAAACAACCAAGGGAATGAATTCTAGTCCACTAAGTTGGGGTTTCATGGTTGCCCTCAAATAAATAAAAGAAACAAATCAATGAAGTAAAAACCATAATCACAAAGTTTAAACAAAATATTGAGACTAATAGGTGTTTATGTAGGAAACTCCTTGAACTCATTAATCAACCTATACCTAAATAGTGAACACTAGCCAAGTAGCCATTAATTAGACTTGGACAATTGTTTTGATGCTTTTAAGAAATTTTTGTTTTTCTTTTTTCTACTTTTCCTCGCACCCGTTTTTTAACATTCTTAAAACAATTGCACACTTGTTTTATATCGACTAAATTTACGTGTGGACAGTGGACACTTTTTTTTGTGTGTTTTTCCTTTTCACCATTTTTAACATTTTGGTGATGGCTTTTTCTATTCTCAAAACAACCTTTTGCCAAAAGCAAATAACGTAATACTACTACTGCTTCCACGCGTCATTCCATAAACCTTTTTTTTTCTTTAAGAAAAATCTTTTTGGCCTGAAGGACACAAGACAAAACAGAAGGGAGTAAAAAAGTTCGTAACAGAATGTCGGTGGTGCTGTCTTTTCGCTTTGATAATTTTGTTAAAAAATGACAGTGCAAATTAATTTGCAAATACAAACTAACCATTTTGCAGAACTATTCTAACAACAATGATGTTTATGTTAGGGGCTTTAAGAGCTGTAGCAAAATAGTCACATGGGAAGCGGGGGTTTAAGGGATATACATTCAATTTTTCTTTTCCCGATTTGAATTTTTTATTCTTTCATCTCATTTTATGATTCATTAAATTTGTATATTGTATTTTAATTCAGTGAATCTAATTATCATAAATGGATCGAACGGTGGAAAATTATACTAGCCATTTCTTTTCACTACCTAGAATTTATGAGGGATTATGTATAGAAACTTGAGCAAGAGCTTAGTGAGACAAAAGAGAATTTGTAAGATGGCCCAAGAAAGCTGGTTAAAAATCTTCTCTGTTTTTTCCAAATAATAATAATAATAACAATAATAATAATAATAATAATAGTAATAATAATCTTCTCTACTCAAGAAATAAAATAAAATAAAATAAAATTAATCGTTGATTTGTGAAAAGTCTATTGAACCACAGAGATTCTTGAATGGCGCGTAAATCATGAAGGTAACCTCCCTGTATTTGGAGGCATTGCGATTAAGCAATATTTTCTCACGTCAATCTAAAAAATGAAATATCAAATTGGACAATATTTTTGGGACAGAGGGGTATAATGGAAAATGAACTAATATTTATGTTGGAAGATGACCATGATTAAAGAAAATGAACTAGTATTTATGTTGATAGTTGATAATTGAGAGCAATTTATATATATATATATATATTAAAAGTAATTTTTTCTCAAATATCTATATCACCCTTCTAAATAATTTTTACTTGTGTTGGTAATACACATCTCAAGAATAAAATTATACTCTTAAATATCTCAAGAAAATAGTCCATTTAAAGATTAAAAAAAAAAACCCTGCTGAGATTAAAGATAATATTGCCACCCAAAAAGAATGAGATAAATGAATAAAATTTTCTTTCGGTACGCAACCAAATATGGGGAAAAAAGCATCCGAGGTTACACTTCCATGTCGAATTCAAACCTAATTCAATCTCCATCCATCTTTTCCATATTATCTCCATGTCCTTTAGCCAAATGCCAACGTTTGGTTGATCTTAGACTTCAAATCTGTGTAACTAACTCATCGGCATTAAAAAAATTACACATCCATAAATCATCACCTTGCGTTTAGAGTTTGATGATGTGGGAAGATAATAATGATCGTGAAACTGATTGGTATTGGTATATATTTGCATTCCACCTACAAGTTTTTTGGTACTAATAAGTTGGAGGGACGTATATACAAATTCGTGGTGCTGCGTTTTCAATCAATTCATGAAAATGTAAATGTGATGAAGAGGTTATATCACATCATAGATGGACGGTGTTTCACTTTCGTTTTGGTTTTGATTTTATGATTTTTGAGTGTTGAAAAAAACCGCATCGTATTTTATAAAAATGCACTTCTTTCGTCCCAAATTTGTTATCCAGTTTAGAAATTTATTTAGTATAAATTAAAATAAATGTGAAGATTCAAACTGAATAATAATTTTGAGACAGAAAGAGTAATAAACTAACCAACATGGAAGGCCCTCATATTTTCATTGATTATAAATAATGACCGATTTGAAATTTGAAATATTGATTGAGGTAAGTGTTATTTGATAATTTTGTTGTTAGTTTATTATTATGTCTCGGGCATGCATAACAAAACCAACTTCACATTTTTCTTCTTGTCACGGGAGGCCGTATCGGGTTTTTTTTTTTTCCTTTTTTTTATGGTTAATAAATTTCAGGACTTAGGAACTTGTGAGAGGAATCTTATTTCTATTTAATTGCAAAAGGGAGTATAAATAAGAGCATTATCTTCTTACCTATCTGCTAGATAAGTCTTACAACTTATATATCCCTTAGTAACTGTAACACACACATGTAAACATGTGATTTATAAGTAAGAATAAGAATTAATATTTCGTAACACTAACTCAAATTTGCTTCGTTGCAATATATTCCATCCGTCCCAAAAAGAATAGTTCATATTGAGTTTTGAGTTTTATATTATTTTTAGTATAAATTTTAAACTTATTGTAGACTATTTTTTTGAGAACGAAAGTAGTATTACATTTCTGAATTGACAACCCAGCTCCGATCCGTTCAACCGGCTTCAAGTTTAAGATTTTATCTTTTATTAGACGTCCGGAAGTTAATTCCTATTAGTATAAGAAAGAATATTGAAGCTGTAGAATGTGCTTAACTTGTTCATTTTGGTCTCCCCCCTGATAAGAGCCCGGTTTTAATTTAGTTTTGTAAATGACTCTTGACTTCGTTTCGCTTGGCCTCATTATGACTATGCAGGAGTTTATTAGTTGCAAACAACCCCTCAAATGTTACATTTTTCATTAAAGGTCCGTTGATTATAAAAATTTAATGGATTGTCAAGTTTTTTCCTCCTTTGAGTATTGAACTCAATGGTGGTACCATTAGTATGAATTGAAGATTCCCTAAAGCACACATAGTACTGAAACGTAGATTTGAGTATATTTTATCTGCCAAAGTGAAACGTACAAACACTGTAAAGATTCAAGACACGAAAGTAATCAAGTGTAATACGAAAATTTTCAAGAGACAATTCTTATCAATACATTCAAACTTGAGGGAGTAGATTGAAATAAACAGTCCTTTCACAGGGCCACACGTACATCACCAACTCCACGGCCCAATTTTGTTTCATTCTCTATCTTTTCCTTCACAAAATCGACACCGACGCTCACGTAAATGCATGATGGGGCACAGAATAGCAAAAGCAGACGTCATTTTCCATTCATTTCACAGAAGAAATTGGGGGAAAAAAAAAAGTTGGCAATAAAACAATCATTAACCCAGATTGAGAATCATGGAAATCAATTCCATTTTACCACTTTACTTTGAGTGAAGAACTTGCATTGCACTTCAAGCATTATTTTGTTAGTACAGATTATAATTAGTACCCCATATTCACGTGTTATGTAATCTGGCCTACACCCTAAACTTTTAACATCATTGATTCAACAGTAGTTCAATAATGGGTTGCCAGTAACTTCATTTAATCCAATAATTCAATACTAGTTTTTTTTTTTTGGGTTAAACATGTTTGATTTTGATCAGCTTCAGTGAAATAGATATTTTGGAACGTTATGACAAAGGGGCCAAAAAAAATGGTATCTTTTTTGCTGAAATGCTTGAAAGTTATATCAGAGGTGAAGATGGCCAAAACCCATATCACCATTTTAATCTTATTCCATGAATTCTGTTTTGCAATTTTATCCGAAACAGAAATATACAATTCCGAGCTGATAAGATAATGGTCGCTTTTCAATGCTGCAGTAGCCTTTAGCCATTCCTCTGCAATATTTTAATTAATTTATGATCCTCTGCTCACCAAAAAATGAAAAATCCCCTCATCTAAAACTGTATTTATATATGCCGTGTCAGTGAAGAAGTACTGGTATTTAATTTGCATTATTCTGTCAGTCAGTTAGTCTTTTCTTCCCAAATTTCCTCCTTTTTTCCTTTTTTTTTTGTGCCACCTGGTTTTTACATTGGCGGCAAGAAAAGAACTCTAATGGAAGCTAATTCGGCTTCTTCATCCAAATGGTTCTGTTCAATCTGCATGTTGTTGTTCTTGATTTTAGCAGCTTTTGAGGTTGCACATTGCTCTGTTACTTATGATAGGAAGTCCCTTATCATCAATGGCCAGAGGAGAATTCTGTTCTCAGGCTCCATTCATTATCCAAGAAGCACCCCAGATGTATAGTATAGTTTCTTCTTCAATTTTTTCCTCTGTTTTACATTTCAAAATGAATCAGAAATGCACAAATTTTGAATTCTTGGATGATAACGAAGTAAAGGATGTTTGCAGATGTGGGAGGGGCTTATACAGAAGGCCAAAAATGGAGGATTGGATGCAATTGATACCTACGTGTTTTGGAATGTCCATGAACCTTCCCCTGGAAATGTACTTCAAATTTCTCAATTTCTCTTGCTAATTTGTAACATGATTTTTCACCTGTTTGGTCTTCTCATTTCACATATGCGTTTCAATTGTGTAATCTTATTATTTTTTTTTTTTTTCAGTACAATTTTGAAGGAAGATATGACTTGGTTCGGTTCTTAAAGTTGGTCCAGAAATATGGACTTTATGTTCATTTACGAATTGGACCTTATGTTTGTGCCGAGTGGAATTTTGGGTAAGCCATTATTTATTCTCATGGGTCATGATGATGAATTCAATGGTTTCTGTTCTTGGTATAAATTTATGATCTTCAATTTTGCTCTTCCAACTCCCTTCTGTTTCAGGGGTTTTCCAGTGTGGCTTAAGTATGTGCCAGGCATGAGTTTCAGAAATGACAATGGACCCTTTAAGGTTTAAATTCAGTCTAAATCCTCTAAATAGAGAATTGGATAAAACTGGAAAATGTTACATTGAATAATTAATTAACCTTGAGGTTGTGTACTTTTGTTGTTGCAGGTGGCAATGCAGAGGTTTGTGCAGAAAATTGTCACTATGATGAAGAGTGAAGGGCTGTTTCAAAATCAAGGTGGCCCTATCATACTCTCCCAGGTACCAAAGACTTTCTAGATGATTGTACTTTGAACATTAAAAGGCTTTTGGGAATGAATTATTTGAAGAGGCATTTTGTGTTGTTTATAGCTTTAATTCTTATTTTTTTTTTTTTTCATGTAGATTGAGAATGAGTATGGTATAGAAAGCCATTCATATGGTCCAGCCGGGCACAGATATAGTGATTGGGCTGCTAAAATGGCTGTCGGGTTGAATACCGGGGTCCCATGGGTTATGTGTAAAGAGGATGATGCTCCAGATCCTGTGGTATGCAATTTCGAGTTTTTATCTTCTTCTTTTTTTCTGAACTATTGCATTGCATCCAACCAACGGGCTATATTTCCAATACAAATTTAAACATTGATGTTGACTAGTGGAAGTGTTTGAAGTTTTTGGGTGATGTGTGTTTCAATTTTGTTGCCAGATTAACACATGCAATGGTTTCTACTGTGATTATTTCTCGCCAAACAAGCCATATAAACCGAAAATATGGACTGAAGCTTGGACTGGCTGGTGAGTTCTGGAATTAGCTACTTCAAAAGTGTTAGTTTTTGTTTTTCTTTTCTTGAAAATCAAATCTGTGTTACTTGTGAAGGTTTGAAGATTTTGGTAGCCCAAAACACCAAAGACCAGTTGAGGACATCGCGTTTGCTGTTGCCCGGTTCATTCAGAAAGGAGGCTCCTTTGTGAACTATTACATGGTTAGTTCTAGCCCAGAGGAGCTCTTTCAAATTTAACATCAACAAATCTGATATTTTTCTGCTAAGTAACTTGATATAGAAATAGAAAATTTTGTTTCACTTCAGTGTCCTGGTGGAAAACTCCAAGAGTTAATGAATGCTAGTTTTACATTTCATTATGCTTCCGTAATCTTTGTGCAAAAAAGAATGAAGTGGAAAAACAAACTGAGTGCTTCATTTAAGTAACAACCAGTTCTTTACGCGAAAAATGATATGTTACTTGAACTTCTTACCTTATTCTTATAGTATCACGGAGGAACCAACTTTGGAAGATCAGCTGGAGGCCCATTCATCACTACCAGTTACGACTATGATGCCCCTATCGATGAATATGGTAAGCAAGCAAAGCTCATAAGACGCTTTCCAAGTTTAAAAAACACATAGTTTTGGCATGATGCTGACGGCTTCATTCCATGCCAATATTAATAGGCTTGATTAGGCAGCCTAAATATGACCACTTAAAGGAGCTTCACAAGGCTATTAAATTATCCGAGCGTGCTTTGGTTTCTGCTGATCCTACTGTAACAGCTTTGGGAAATTATGAACAGGTCAGTAAAAAAACTAAACAGAAGTTTATCTTACATCGTCTGTCAAAATCGAGAAAAGTTGTTCACAATTTGTGCCTTCAAAAGGTTGCAGGCATATGTAAAAAGTCACTCTTTCATGCTTGCAGGCATATGTATTTTCTTCTACTTCAGGAGGTTGTGCGGCCTTTCTCTCAAATTATCATTCAAATTCCGCTGTTACTGTAACATTCAGGAACAGAAAATATCAATTGCCACCATGGTCTATCAGCATTCTTCCTGATTGTAAAAACGATGTGTTTAATACAGCCAGGGTAAGTCAAAAGGTCTTTTAGATTCAGTGATCCCATTTCCCTTGGTTAAGAGAGAACATCTAAAGCCATTTATCCCTCAGATATTCGAAAACTGCATTTTTTAAATCAGCAGTGTTTTTAATTTTCTTCCAATGTAGGTAGGAGTTAAAGCATCAACAGCACAAATGGTAGCCACTGAGGTGAAAATCCTTTCGTGGCAAACATTCAGCGAGGACGTCTACTCTTTAATAGATGATTCCTCATTTACGCATGTCGGCCTATTGGAGCAATTAAATGTAACAAGAGATAAAAGTGATTATCTATGGTATACAACCAGGTAAACAAGGATTTCGATTTAAGTAAAGCTGTTATTTATCAGTCAGCAGATTTCACATATATTCTCATTAATGTTGTTTCAGCATTCCAATAAGATCGACTGAATCTTTCCTTCATCAAGGGCGTTCACCCACTCTCACAGTGGGATCATCAGGCCATGCACTGCATGTGTTTGTTAACGGAGTAAAGTCAGGTGCAATATGCATTCTTTTTTTTTTTTTTTCGGTCAACAGGTGCAATATGCATTCTTACCGGTGTATACCTGGGATTGTATTTCGTACTACTCTCAATTTTGATGGTTCTCATGTCTAAAATACAGGGTCGGTATTTGGAAACAGCAAGTTGACCTTTAGAGGAGGGATCAATTTGCGTGCTGGGGTCAACAGAATATCAATACTAAGTGTAGCAGTTGGACTACCGGTTAGTTCTTCTCTGATCTTTCTCTATTTAGCTTCTGTAGCTAAGCAGTCTTCCATTGAACCGTTGAATCTGAAGCAAACTTACAACGAGCTGTAGATAATTATGCAGAACTATCAAAAGTAGTTTCACACCTTATCCTTTGTTGTTCTCAGTTTGCACATTTATATCTCAATAAAGACCTAACTAATGAGTAATCACTGTGAATTGATCCACGTCTCCATCTTTGCTCAACTTGTTAATATGCATCACTGTTTCACTTGGATACCAAAATGAATTTAGCAAAGCAGTAAAAGTGCAGTCTCATTTTCATTTGTAAATTTGCTTCTAACTTTTGTCATGATCTTTTTGAAGAACAATGGGGCACATTTTGAGACTCAAAGCATAGGAGTAACTGGACCTGTTATTCTGCAAGGTTTAGATGAGGGCTCGAAGGACTTATCGATGCAAAGATGGTCATATAAGGTTCATCATTAAGAAACTTCACAATGTAATTACTCATATCACTTTTAAAAGTGTTTTAGTCACTCAGACAATGCTGATGATCAACAGATAGGGCTAAAAGGAGAAGCTGTGAACCTGGATTCCGTCAGTTCGAGTTTATCGGTCCATTGGGTTGGAGGAAACTTGATGGCAAGCAGGCAGCAACCTCTAACATGGCATAAGGTACTCATTTCCCAATTCTCATAAGCTAAAAGATTCCAGCGTGCTTGTTTCTTCCACACAACCATCTTAGCACTTCTAACTTTGGAAAAAAAAAAAAAAGAACAGCAATCTGTTGTCTATTTGCAGAATAAAAGGTTGAGAAAAGTGGTATTTTTTTCAGTTTTTTCCCCTTCATCTTAGGCCCTTTTCCACAAGTCAAAGCATCAAGGCACCATAGCTTCTTTATTCATTAGTGTTTGTTGATGATTTTTTGTTGCAGGCTTATTTCAATGCACCAGCAGGAAATGATCCTTTGGCACTAGACCTTAGTAGTATGGGAAAGGGTCAAATATGGATCAATGGGCAGAATATTGGAAGATATTGGACTAGTTGGGCCAAAGGTAATTGCGGCCAATGCAGCTATGCCGGAACATACAGGGAATGGAAATGCCTATCTGGATGTGGCCAGCCAACTCAAAGATGGTAATATATACTTAATCGCCCCTTAATTTCACAAATTCTACTCATTCAAAAGTTTTTAGGACTACATTACATCTTCTCAACAAAACACGTACCGGAAACGATCATTTAAAACATTTGATGGGTTGTTAAACCAAAAAAATTCATTAACAAAAAGTGATCGAAATATGAACACTTGTAAATTTGGAGTTTCAGGTACCATGTTCCTCGATCTTGGTTGAAGCCAACAGGAAATGTGTTGATAGTTTTTGAGGAAATTGGAGGGGATGCATCCAGAATTTCTCTTGTGAAAAGAGTGGTGAACTAAAAGGGGTCACTTTGTACATTCTACAAGTCAAAAGGGTGAATTAAAATTACCTTAAAAGGTCATTCACTATGTTCATTCATCATTTTTTCCCCTGAAGGAACTTGAAGGGGATGAATGCATCCAAGCATGAATTGTAACTCATCACTTATGATACATAGTAACTTATGTAAAAAAGAAAAACAGTCCCCCTTGGTAAAGAAAGAAATGTGTTTTACCTATTTCAAAATGATTGTCACATTAGGATTTTCATTTTCCGTAATTTATGCTGTAAATAAAAATATAAAGTGGATATTTATTTCGGGAGAGACGAGTACTACCTTAAATCAATGACTTATTGCAAAACTCATGGAGCGCATGAGCAACGAAGCTTGAAGTGTCACTTTCACTACTTTCCTTGGATCAACCGGCAAAGGACTGCCTTAATATATACACACTATGGCCCATGCATTATGCATAATTGCATATCATGGGAAATTATGGCCTTTTATACTTATTTCATTTCTCACAAGTTAATGATGCTTTAGTATTAATGGTTATTCATTGATAACGATTATGATTTGGAAGAACATTTGTTTATCATGTTGAAATTATACTATTGATTATCCATGGGCTGAGACATAAAGACGGGGTCCCAAAAATACTTCTGGATAATCCTACCAATTCCCGTTATAAGGAGTGCTTTTTTGAACTTATTGTAAGAATTTTACCCTGTCAACTTATTGTGGTAATCACCATAGTAACAGTACGTTATACTTTCTCATGGAAGATTATTTGCAAGTTAGACAATAATAATTTATAATTAAATTGATAAGTAAATAATATATATAGTTTATAATCTTGTGATGCGCTTGGATATTATAAATGATGTTGGAAATAAGATAAAGATTTGAAATCTGTATTGGGTGTGAATTTATTTTTCTTTTAAACAAGGAGTTTGTATATACTTTTATCAACAATAATGGGGACGGTAAAAAATATTTAATGAACAATTAGAGATAAAAATGTAATCTGGGCTGAAAGATAAATTTCAACGGTAAAGTGTCAATATAATAGAGAATTTATAGTACTATACTACATTCATCATTTCTTTTTCATTGCACATATCATTTTTCTATTTTTATTATTGTTATTATTAGTAAGTACACCCTCATGTTCTTATTATTAAGTCATTTTAATTTATCCTAAATTTTATTTATTATGTTATTTTAATTAAAAACAAAATTCACATTTATTGTATTTCTCCAGTCATTATAAAGCATTTTTTAAAATTTCATTCAATTAAAAAACACGATAAATAAATTAAGAGAAATCAAAAATGTCTTATAATAAGGACGGGATGAAGTATTTAATAGATAAATTTCGAGCAGAAAATCAGGTGCTCAACTGAGATTCTATGGACTGTGGGTTTGAGCTCGGTCAGTGCCGTCTCAACCTAAAATAGGACCTAAAGTAAATTTGTAAAATGAAATTTCTTCAAAATTTGCTCGAATTATTTTCTTTTTTTATGTTTGTTATTAATGCAATCATATTGGAACCATAGGTACGCTTTAGTTTAAATTTTATATATGAGTGTCATATGAATGGGAAAAAAAATACTTGTCAATAATTACGATACAGTTTTTATCTATTTTGTTTTTGATTTCCATCATATAGAAAGTAAAAGTTTTGCTTTGTAACATACATACAAATAAAGGATTAATCAATTATGAAAAAAAAAATGCTAGTTATATGTTAGCACTTAACCGAACCAAAAAAAAAAAATGAAATATATTAAAAGAATTTTACATTATTATGATTTTACTCAATAGTTCAAAAAGATGTACAAACAAATCATCTGGTGTCAAAAAGATATACAATTTGTAAATATGGATGGGATAAAATCTAACAAAAAATTAATTAAAGTCTGAATGAGAGATTATTTTAATATTTGGCGTAGTGAGATGATTACGAAGTAGTAGCTGAAAAGATTGAGTAATAAAAGTTAATTAATTAACTGAGATAATTTATTTTGATCGAGTGATTTAGGATTTGTTATTATCATTTAATATTAGAACCAAAGTTATAAAAATGGGCTATAAATTAAAGAATTAAGATATTTTAATTATTTTATCCCTCCAATTAATTTGATTTTATATTTAAAGTATCAAAGAAACACTAAAAGGCCCATCAAAATTGGGGCCCTTCAAAGTTGGGGGCCTAAAGTCCTAGCTTCAACAGCCTTATGTTAAGGCCGGCCCCGCTCTCAATCAAAATATTCTGTTGTCACGACCTTCAATTATAAAAATAAAATATTTATTTTCTCGTCTCGAAAATATTTACTCTTTGTGTTAAACATAGTGAATATAGAATTTTAAAATTTGTACCATTTAATACTACTTTAGAACAAAAGGCCGTGCTTATTATATTTTAAATTTCATATTCATATATTATTATTTTTATATCAAAGGTATCATAATGTTTTCGGCTCCTATAAAAAATATTCATTTTTTATTAAATTAAAAATAATAATTCTTCACGATAAAATAAATTACTACTACTTTTTAGGAACGGGAAAATAATTGCAATGACATAAGTGCTTCCAGTTTCTCAATGTTGAAGTTGAACAATGGTTGCGTTGTAGTTTGCTCGAGAGTTGAGAGTGATGAAATGAACTTCACTTTTTTATATGTGATTGGTTGGGAATTATTGTCGTTTTTCCAGTTTGACCGTTGACGATAGCAAAAATGTACTAATATGCTTTCTAAACGGTCTAAAATCCCCTGAAATTTTCAACCATATGACCCTCTTGCCCTTACTCTAAGAAATTCAGAAAATTAATTTTGAGCCTATAAATAGCATTTCTACCTTGGATATGAATTAGATCCAAATTTAAAATAAAATAATACTCCCTCCGTCCCATAATTATTGTCCAGTTTTACTAAAATAAAATTTTTTGTTTTTAGTCAAACTTAACTATATTTTACCTTGAACAACCGGATATACCCCTACATAAGTAATTGTTTAACCACAAAGTTTTTATGGATAATGTTTTTTACTAAGGACAAATGTGTAACTTGATCCATAAAAAGTCAAATTGGACAATAATTTTGGGACAACATTTTTTAGGCAAAGTGGACAATAATTATGAGACGGAGGGAGTAGTCAAGTTCTTTTTTCCAATATTAAATAAATGTGGTGAAAGATTTTAAACTTAATACTTTTGATCCCCTATATTTAACAATTTTAATCTTTCAACCTAAATAATTCTGATTGTTGAGTTTATAATTTCGACTTTTAACAATTTTAAGAATGATTAAACGATAGCAATCAACAAAATACATACTCTTTTTATTGACAAAAAAAAACACACACACATATATCATGAACCAATAACTATGATCAAACAAAATTGTAATATTTCATTTGTATAGTTTTGTGGATATACAAATTACAACGTAGTTTTTTTAATAGATGGCAGGAGTATATAACAAGACCAAAAAAATCGCTTTTTGAAATGAAACACATATTAAAACCAATGTATTTCGTTTTGTTTATCTTGATTGTATTTTTCTTGAAATGTTAGTGCATTTGCAATTTCCCGAAGAGAAGATGACCTAATTAACCTTTTAGTTTTCTCCAAAACCTCCAATATAAATACCCATTTTCCTTAAAATTTGGCCCGGCAAAAGAAAAGATTAAAAAAAAAAAAGGAAAAACGAAAAAACCCGAGTTGGTTTTTTTTTCTCTCTCTATACCTTCTTCCAGATATCTCTCTTCCCCCACACCAGAATTTTGCTGTACTTACAGCGCATGTTTGTTCAGTCTTCACTCTTCCCCAGTCCATGGCTAAAGGCCGCCCCAACCGCCGTATTCTGGACTCCTACACCGTCAAATCCATCAACAAAACCATCCGAGGTAACTTTCCTTCACTTCTTCACTTCAAATCCGCGTTTTATTGATGAAATTCCGGTGATGAATTTGATGCAAATTTTTGTGTGTTTTTTGTGCTTCTTTGTCGAGAGCAGCCGGAGATTGCGTGTTGATGAGGGCATCGGACTCTTCGAAGCCTTCGTATGTGGCGCGGGTGGAGAAGATCGAGTCCGATACCAGAGGCTCTAACGTGAAGGTCCACGTCCGGTGGTATTACCGACCGGAGGAGTCGATCGGAGGTCGGAGGCAGTTTCACGGCTCTAAAGAGGTGTTCCTTTCTGATCACCACGATATTCAGAGCGCGGACACCATCGAGGGCAAATGTACTGTCCACAGCTTCAAGAACTATACCAAGCTTGATGCAGTTGGGAACGATGACTTCTTTTGTCGTTTCGAGTATAATTCTTCTACTGGCGCTTTCAATCCAGATAGAGTTGCTGTGTATGTTCCAACTTCTGTGTATCTATCTTTTGAGTGTTTTACATTATGTAATGAACCTCCATTTAACTTGTTGATATATGCATGAGTGAGCTATACTCTTTTGGTTTTACATTGTTCTCTTTTACTTGTTGTTTAGCCTAATTTGCTTGTTCATGCATACATTTTTATGATTACCCTGCCTAATTAATGTTGTTTAGGATAGGATTTTCTGACAGTAATGCTCACTATAATACGGCAGGTCATGTGTTCCTAATTATTCGAACTAGGTTTAATTATAGAAGTTCGTTAAATTATGGCAGGTACTGTAAATGTGAGATGCCCTACAATCCTGATGATCTGATGGTTCAATGTGAGGATTGTAATGACTGGTGAGTTCGATTACAAATTTTCATTTAATAATTACCTTATGTATTTTTTCCGTTTTGTTTTTGTCTCTGTATTTGCATTAATTATTGACGATTCATAGGTCGAGTGAAAATAGGAAAATTACCTAATTTGCTGATGAATTTCAGAAATTTTTTATTCGTGTAAACTGAGCGTAATAAGTTGATGAGTTCTGGAAAGTAACAGAATGTTAACTTGTCTCTGTTCCTTTTCATTTTCATTGCATTAAATCTCTGATCTGAGTTCGAAAGAACTTTCTATTTCTATATGTTTGAAAGTGTCAGAATTCAAGAAAGCGATCTTAACTACTTAACTTAGTTAAAGTTAGTTTTAGGATTGACTCGCACTTCAAATTCTGAATTAAAAGATAGAAGGGAACATCTTAGTGTCTGGTGTGTCTGTCACCAATCGATGGTGAGCTCTAAATGCCACATAAGATGGCAATGTACTTTTTGCCTTGGTGAGAACCAAGCCAATGTCTGATAGTTTTTCTGTCCTTCTAGTACTTCTCCTGAAAGCCAACTGATTATGAAGGTTTGTCTTTATTGAAACCTTGCGACAAGTCCTGCATATTTTCATGAAAGGACAATCTTTTGCTCTGCGTCTTAGATTATTCATTTACTCTGTTTTGAAACAACGTTTCTGTGCCAAAGCTTACAGAGTTAACCTTATTTATGGATGTTTGTCAAAATTAATTTACTTCTTCTGCAGTATGCTAGTGCTTAAGGGATAAAAGGATTTTTTTAAAGTAGATATATGATTTTCTTTTTGTGTACACGTAAATTTAATGATGCACCTCTTGCAATTGGGGACTTTTGTGAGATCAGGTATTTGTACATATTGAAAATGGGGTTCCTCTATCTCATCTTTTTCTATTGTGATGATAGGAATGTCATTGGTGTATATGTGCGTGTGTATAACAAATATGGAAGTTTTAGCGAGGGACTTTTAGAAGTGTGATTTTGTAGGATGGAGAGAAGCCTTCAACTCATGTTTGATCAGAATAATTCTTTTAAGAAAGCAAAATGTTTCTTTTACGATCAATATCAAGGCAGTTGAGAGATTGTGGATATGTTTCTTTATAGTTTGTGGAAAGAGTTTGGTAAATCCATATGTGAGATGTCTGTATTTGTTTGTGAGCCGATTCAACTTTTAGCAAATCAGTTACACACAATGATCATAGAAAATTACTAACTCTTTGTGACATTGGATATGACAATGGAATCTGTGAGCTTCCATTGTAGTAGTTTAAAACTGGAAAGTTAAGTTCCTCACAATGATAGTTCCGGTGAGTAGTTAAATTATGAAAGGGTGCCAATTTAATTGGGTACTCCGATGACAAAATACTGAAAATAATGATTGTCTTTTTCAATTATAAATTTTTACTGCTCTCATGGAAATACTTCTTGGCTTCCCCTTACTTACAGTAACTAGCCAGTAGCCATGTATAACTTGACTTCTTTTTCTTTTTTTTTGGTTTGGTAAGAAAGACTTAAATTTGATTTATGAATTTCTTTTAAAACCATCACATTGGATTGATGTCAAGATTGGACAAGCTTACTTTTAATGTTTATACGCCATAGAGACCAATTCTCTGGTCTCTGGTTTAAGAGCAGAGATGCTCTGATCTGATGATTCTTTGATGAGCCTGTAGCATATGGTTTTCTTCATTTTTAGCCTGGGCCAAATGTAAGAAATCATTTGCTGTTAGCTGATGTAATTGTTAGATAAAAAGAAATGTAATTGGGTGATCAAATTGGTACAACTTACCGGATAGGTAGTTCCTTTAGATGACTAGGTTGCAATTACCATGTTACTGCTTTTGGTACGTCTTAGTGCTACTATTTTTGTACAGCTTCTCTTTGTATGGACATTTGTTATTTTGCAAATGTTAATGAAAGTTGTGTTACATTACATGGCACTGATGTCAACGTGTTCGATTAGTTTGGTTAGAAAATAGTTTTTTCCTTTCAAGGAAAAACCAAAATCAAATATGGTGGGCTAAATTGAAGCAAAGAAAGTGCTATGTCGCTACTGTTTAAGACTCTTTAGTTTTGAACATAAGCTGCCATATCATATTGAGTGGGCAGTTTTGAAAGGTGTTATTATTGCCTAGGTAGCGTTTTCATGTGATTAGAGATTGGACATTATTTCATTCCAAGAGTATCAGGGCTAGTCCTCGTCATTGAGGCCGATGTCCTGATTATCAATTTTTTATTTTGATTTTGCTAACTGTTATTATGTCCTTTAGGTTTCACCCAAATTGTATAGACATGAGCATAGAAGAAGCTAAAAGACTTGAGCACTTCTTCTGCGCAAATTGCTCCTCTGGAGATCAAAAGAAGCTGAACAGTTCGCATGCTCTTACGAGACATTCAGATGTGAAGGTACTGAATGATGACTTGCAGAACCCTAGCATGTTGCAATTTTTCCTGAATTTTGTTTTTGCATGGTTTTCTCTCCATTTAGTCAAACATGTTTAGTTTTGATCTGACTATCACGACTTCTTTATGCCTTGACTTAAACTTGATATAGGTTTTATGCACTAGGTTTTTAGGAGTTTGTTTATATCATGTTTTTGTCCAGTGAGTCAAGTTACAGAAGAATCGTGAAGTTTGGGCATGATCCTTTCATCACTTTCCCAGGAAAAGTTCACCTTTTGTTCTAACAAAACCCCAAACATCGGAACAATTTTGAATATCAAAGTTTAAAGTTTACACCTAATCCAAATTTTGTCTCATATAATTATTTAAAAGATGTTTTCCACAACATACATTTTCATTCTCCTCCCATAAAAAGGAACTCCTCCAAAAGCATTTCGTCCCAATCCAAAAAAGGAAAACATAGCCTTTGTTTTGTGTATTTGTGTGTGATATAATGTATATCTAGACTCGACCAAGGAAATAACTGAGGAACTCTTCCAAGTTCTTATTAGAGAAGCTGAATACAGTTCTGGAATCTGAAGTGGAACATCTGTGTTATAACTATGGATCCTATATTGGTAAAATTTTGCTTTTGGGGATTCAGGTGGATACAAAACGACGACGGAGGTGATAGGGAGTGTTTATTTATATCAACCTCTAGGACAGGATGCAACAGACAGCTCGGTGACTGTATCAGAAGGTAGTCGGAAGCTTGTGAACTGATTTATGTAAGTGGCTTGAAAACATGCGTTTGGTTGAAGAGGAATGTGGCTGTTTGTAACTGTGTAAATTGTATAATCCCCTTTTCTTTTCTTTCCCTGTTTGACGGGCTTTCTTTGTATGACGATAGTTATTTATCAAACTTAACAACAGAGTAAATAGGTGATCAACTGATCTTCTTCCTGTTATTAGTGAATAGGTAGGTACTTTTTGGGTGATTGTTAGACCTGCATACTGTTGGGGACTACGTTTCCAAGTTGTAGAAGTGTGGTTTCTCTTGGGGCTGATAATCCCCATGATATCAGAATCTAGTTTTAGCAAAGGGGCCGTGGGCACTGCGTGGCCGCATTTAGGTCCACGAATGTTGATCGATGCCTGACACTTTCTCTTAACCCATACATGCACCGACTTGCCAGTAGATCTAAAGTTTAATTTGTTTAAGTGATGATTATAAAAAATATAAATTCATTCAATCAAATAACTCAATGACTAATGTAATGCGTACGAAGGAGACACGAACACGTTTTATTGTGTTTTTTTTCGTGCATGTAAAATCAAATACCGAGTCATTCCGCTGAACGCATCCTGAATGTGACACAATATTGGCATTTTTGTTGACGGTGGGCTCGTAGGAATCAAAAAAAATTTAACATATTCAAAACTGGGGGTATTTCGGATATAGGCTGTTTTGCCATACATTCCTACACACACTGTTTGGCCAAAACCAACTGCATTCATCGTCCTGTTATCTGCCTGTATAAAATGATTACCTAATTGGGCATATAGAAACATGTATGAGAGAGCTCGCGAGAAACTCAAACAGGGCCCACGTTAAAATCCCAATTTCATCCCATCTGGACTGAAACCCATCATAACTGGCGCATTTACAAACAACAGAATGGGACTCTGAGCTTTGACGATCACTTAAGTGAGAAGGGGAAAGGTGTGAATATCATTACGCATCTAGTAACTTGGGTTGACTGTCACCGGGTTGGAAGAAAGTTCAGTGCCGAACAAAAATGTTTTATCCTGTTTTTGCTCTCTTCCACACAATTACAGTGCCACCAAAATCAGAAGAAGCCAGGAAGTTCTCCCCATAGTTCCACGCAACTCCGATTACTGGGTAACCATGACCCTGAGGTAACAAGCATCCATCAGAGACCGGGTTAGGATTTCAGACTTATTTGTGAATTAGTATAAACTCGACAACAATGCTTGACAAGTTCTGAGATGCACCTGTAACTTGTTCACACAAGTGTGCCGGGGTCGTGTTAAGTCGTAGAAGTACACGTTGGCATCTTCACTTCCAGCAACTGCGATATCAAAAAATTTAATCACAAAACATCATCACGATTCAACAGTAAAGCTAGATTTGCATTAGTACAAACTTCATTTAAAATCACCAAATGTTTTTGTGAAAAGATGCGGAATGAGAAACACTGAATTTAACCACGGATTCAGTTAACTGGTTAGTTCATACAAAGAAGCATGAAGAACTTTAATCTGCTAAAGTTTTTACATCCCTATTGCCTTCGGACCAACACTGTCATAAACAGAACTAAAGTTAACAAACCAAAGGGATCACATGATAGGCAACTGTTGCAGGATTCTTATGCTTACATTGAAATGCTTTATGTTCTCATAATAAAGCTAAGGCATTTTATCAATGTAAAGGATATCATTAGGTTCATTAATCACCACGTACCAATATATTCACCCTTTTCAAGTGAAAGCAGAGGACAGAACGAAGCACGAATGCTGTGAAGTCGAGGAGCCAACTTAAGCGAGCATCGAAGAGTTAAATATCCTTGTATCTCCAACGAAACACTACAGAGGAAGTAGATATTACCATGAGACGCCAAAACAAGAAGTTAAGGAATAATGAGTTATGTTCCAGTTGAACCTGAAAAAAGACAAACTTCCATCCCGAGTAAAGGTCAGCAAAACTGGACCTCTTGCAAGCAAAGAAAAAGTTCTATACTGCACTGTTGTCACAGGAGATTTCCTTTTATTAGTGCTCCGATGACGGTGAGCCCGAGATAAAGCACCAGTACGGGATTCCATAGTAACTGAGTATATACATCCCTGTGGAGGAAACCAATGCAATCAAGTTGTAGGAAAATTAAAGAAGCTGATAAGACCAAATGAACTCAAAACTGCAGAACAATTGGCTAACCTGAGAATCACCACAAAATATGAGCTGGCCAGTGTGATCATGGTCCATAGCAGTAACCTCACTGTCAAATATCGATTTGCTAATGGTTCTCCCGGTGCTGAAATTAAAAACCTGGAATTTCAGTTAGGAGATAAAACCAAATCAAATGATACAGCAAAGGTGTTAAGGGACTGAAGGGCAAAATATAGTAGACCACAAGTACACAATACCATATGCATCAATGTCAAAACTGATGTTAGCAAAAAGTTTTGTCCAAATACGCAATACATTAGAAAGATACAGCTTTGGCAGCAATTGAAATGAAGTATGTATAAGTGAAGCGTTAATTACAGTGATCTCTTTGTTTGCGTTGCCCACAGAAAGAAAGTTGTTGTTCACCTGCATTAAAGAGGATGGAAAAAACCCATGTATCACTGGCAAAATTGATACCACAGAAAACAGAGATGATCCAAAACAAGGTAGCTGGTACAAACCTATCGAACAGCATACATATATATTGCAGGTAAAATTATCAGAAAGTTGTTATATTATTCAGAGAACAAGTTTCTGTCTGTGAAACAATCTATTAAATAATGTTTACTTACTGGGTGGAACCGAATACAAAGTTGTGGAGAGACACCATAAATCACCCTGATGCAAAGGCCCTGCGGAATATCCCATACTCGAACAGTTTTGTCCATGGAGGATGAGGCAATATATTGGTTATTCGTAGAGAAGTCAAAATCTGGAGCAAATAACGGCATGTTAGAGCTCAAGCATACTACACATAAAAATAACACCACTTATTACAGGTCTAATCATTCAAAAAGTCAGTATACATCCATTTGCACTGCAACCACTACGATAGAACTATGTAAAGTATAGTTAAAATTAAATTAATTAAATCATCATTTTTAAATAATATTCATATCCTTAACAATCTTCCTTTTACTCAAACAATTATTGAGCTTTCCACAATCACATACAAGGATCCCTTAACCGACAAAGAGCCAAGTAACTATAAACACATAACGTCTCAACCTCAAATGGGACTAGCCATTAACTTTCAGGAAAGTTATGTGAAATTATATATGGCCACCAATAAAGAGGAAAACGTAGGGAACGGCATTTTCCTGCCTATTCAAAATCCAGAAATATATATGATCTCATCCAAAGTTCCTTTAACAGTTCCCATATTAGATTTGACAATCAAAAGCTCTTGCTGTTACCAGTGAAAGTCCATTATAAATATCGGAAAGAAAACTTAAAACCAATGCCAGTCATCTCAACCTGTGACATCTTTAGAATGTCCGGCTAATTGCTTGATGACTGAAGGTGGTACAGCGACACTGCAGACAGTTAGACTTCCATCAGAGGCTCCATATGCAAGAATATCTGAACTCGTGTGCCCAAACTTTATTACAGTAACTGATAGGAGGAAAAAAAAAATTGACATACTTTAATCAGCAACTGGCAAAATACAGTTGGAAGGGAAAAAGGGGAAACTGGAAGCAAGCAGAAGAGAACAATGTTCTTCATCTTCAAGATAGTTACCCATGGCCTTGCATTGGTCAAAAATGCAATGCATCCCAACAAATGAATATGCAGGTTCAGACCTTCTACGTGAGAAATCGCCATCGCTCACATTTGAGCTACTACGACTAAGTGCTTGGCTTCCATTTCGCACATCCTGTAAAAAGTGATATATGTTAACCTCTAATCAGTTTCCTGGGTCCTTGATTTTTCTTGTGAGCCAATTAGGAAGAAACTAAAAACATAGTAGGATGAGAAGGGAGCACGTCCATCACAGAGTAACACCTTCAGTTGGAAGGTAAAAACCATAAAAAGGCAATTAGAGAAGGATTCAAAATATCATGTTCTCAAGAAGGACCAGAACACTTGAAACATTATGTCTGAATGCCGTACAACGCACCTCATAATCAGAGAACAATCTGAAGACTCATTGACTGCATGATTCTTGACCGCAAAAAGTGATGAGCTTAAAGTAAAGAATCAATAATACAAAGCTATAGATCTTTGCAAATTTACATCTCTGATCTAAAATCTAGAATAAAAAGTACGATATGTAAATCCTATGGAGGCCAGGAATTTCCCAAACAAGATATCATGAAGTTAAGGAAACGCAGAGTTTCAGAACACATTAAAATAACAGCAAATGATTGTAGGACTTACCCTGCCCGTACTCCAGCTGTCCACTTCTAAGAAATGGGAGAGAAGACCAGAGGATGATACCCATCGGCCACTGATGCATCAACCAGTAAAGGATCCTGATGTCAGAATTGTGCGGCAAACGATTCAAACAATATTTCAAATTAAGAAAAAACATGCTTAGAATTGACGATGGAAAGTTCGTGGACTTTCTAACTAGATTTTTCTTGATGGAAAGTTCCAAAGACCGCATGCAGCATAACAATGCAGGTAATCAGTTAGTTCTCATCATCTAGAGGTTCACCAGAAAATGATGTGCAAAGAAGCAAATGCATTCATAAATGTGCCTAAAGGGGGCATAGTACCCAAACTCAAATAATCTGTAGTGCAGAATCCAGTTAAATTAAATACAGATACTCCGTGCAGGCAGCAGCTATGCCTAAAGTTGCAGATATGTAGAATCTTAATCCTCAAGGAAAAAGGAAACAGTATCGATTTGAACCAGTAAACCTTCAGCAGTAATGCAACAAGACATTTAAGTGCAAAGAAAAGTTGACTAAATACCCAGAATTTTTTGAAGAGAACTGTTCATCTCTTCAACTTTTCAAAGCTAAAGAGGCAACAGGAATTTAAAAGCTGCATCTCTATGGCATCAGATGTGGATCTATGAGCAAAAGAAAGACCCTCAAAAGCATATAATCTTCATGCCAACAACTACTGTTTCAAGATTTTTTAGAAAACAGGAATCCGTTTAGGTTAAGAATCCAGTACGGTGATTATGCACATGAACACAGAAAATGAACATTCATTAAGGGGCAAGTAACTTTCTGGTGACAAAAAACTCAATCAATTCTGAAAAAGATACATAGAATATCATCTACCTGTTTCCGGGTGTACTTGAATGGCTGGGTATCAAACTCTCCCAATTCCTTGGCCTGCTAATGTAATTACGGTAGGCAACATAACCTTTTCCATTACATCTCCAGTCCTTCATGATAAAACAAGACAATCAAACACAATCCATACAAGGATTGCGGGCACATGTGCACGCACAAAACACAATCAAACAAATATCACAATCTGCACCAGTTTAGTTGACTCGTGCTAACCAAATTTCTTCCTGAAAAAACTCTTAAAATGTTCATCTACACCTACATCCTTCCAGCAGTTGATCATAAAGAGTTACATGATTTTGCATACTCACCAGCATACTTTCATGCCCGAAATGTAAGCATATTTTTATACCACTACGGTCTTGTGGACACGCAATCCATCCACAAGACCCAAAATAGCTGCACTCATAAAGCATAAACTATGAATCTCATCCCCAACCCAATACAGAGTTACATGACCGACACAATCGGATTAAGCTAAATTCCATATACAGATATTGGGAGCTAGCAAAATTAATTCATCTAAGCTCGAGTCAAGAACAATGTATGTAAAAAAACGCCTCACTAAAATTGCATACTAGTTTGTAAAATGAAATCAAAGCACAGCAAAAAATGGGTAGTCAATCATTTCCGTCAATAATGTAACGATCAGCTATTCCAACGCGTAATCGCGATCATTTAAACGCAGAAGCACATAGATAAACATCAGCGAGGGAAATTACCGGAGAAAAAAAGAGTAGGAAACTACGAATATACCTTGCGGCGAAGAACACCAGATTCAGCTTTGCGAAAGAGGAGCAGACGGCGAATTCCGATGTAGTTAGGATCGGAGTCGGCGGGCGAAGGTTGAAGCACGCAACTAAAGGATTCCGGATCGGTTGCGAGGTTTTGCTTCTTGTCGCTCTTGTTTGGATCGTCGGTTACGTCGCCGGAGGAGCTGTTCTCCTCCGCAATCGCCGGTTGTTGCGCCATACCGACGCAACTGTTGTGACGAGTTAAACAATTCTCAGAAAGCGGGATCCCAGCTAACAGTCCTCACCTTGCCGGGAGAGCTGATATGTTAATAGTAATTTCTTTCTTCCTTTTTTTTTTTGTTTTTTTTTTCTCCCGTGTCTGATTAAACGACAGTAACAATACTATATATCCTTTTGTTTCCAATTTTTTAACATTCTTTATTTCCCTCTTTGTAATTTTACGCCAAAATCACAATAAATAATGTTGGCCTCTGCAATAACCAGTTACCTTACTACAAGGATGCAATCCTTTTGAAAAAACAAAAGGAGTAGTTAAAATCATTGAATAATGTATAGAAAATATGAGAAATCTAGTACGAGTTTTTTCTTTTTTAAAAAAAATTTCATATCCTCTCTCATTCTCGTAGACATTTTTCATTCATTGTGCAATCAAGATTGATCTAATAAACCTCCAAAATCCATCGATCTTGATGTATAGTTAATTAAAATAAGTACTCCCTCTGTCCCAATAAAAAAAAAAAATCTGTCGAGTTTGAGATTTGTATTGTATTGAATATAAATTTGAAAACTCAACATGAATTTTTTATTTTTTTGGAAAGTGGTTATCACAAATCTCTTAAAAGTTAAAAATAGTGTGCTATTTACATCCCATAAAAATAGTCTATGTTAAAATTTGTGAATAATATTGTTTTACTAGTCTTTTACATGTCGCGCGTTGCGCGACAAGTGATTTTTTAAAATCATTTAACTATATTACGATAAATAGTAGTAATAATTTATCTTAATGCGTAATAGTTGTAGATACATGCTTTTATAGGACTTTGTTAAGTATATTTTTTTTTTAATGGGATTATTACGTTGCTTATCCTAATACATACAGTATCCCACAAAAATGATTAAAAAATCTATCAAAAAGCAAGGAAACAAAATAGAAGATCAAATTAGTACTTGTATAATATATCATGTGATTCATGAAAGTGTTGGAAAAGGTAGGTTGATTTATTTTAATTTTGTGGTCTTTCAATTTTTATTTTTATTTTTTTCGGTAATATGGTCTTTCAATTTCAATTTTGACGCATGGATAATTTTCTTGCAAATTTAGAGGGTGTGAGTAACTTTAGATAAAATTAGCCAAAAAGTCAAAAACTAAAATTTACTTTTGATAGCTTCTGTTCTATCACTGTTAGCAATTTACCTTAGAGACTGTAACTTCTTCAGTCAAAGAAAGTTGGTAATGTTGCATAAGTTACCTCAATGACAGGAAACAAATGACTATTTTTCAATAGCAATAATAAACTTTTAACTCAAACATCGTATCTATAGTGAGGGCTAAAATTGTTGGACCTGTAGTATTTCACAAATAAAAACATAAGAAAAAACTGAGGGGACTATTAAGTTACTTATCACAACTCAATTCTTAGACACAGAAAGCTATCAAATCTCATCCTAGTCAAGCTCTCAGTTATTCTATCAGGTTGTTATTTTAAGCTGGAGGCAAGAAGCTTCAAGTACTCAGCAGGGGATAGTACCAATATCACTTGGCCTCCCTTTTACTTGCCAAAATCTAGATTGTTATATCATGGCTAAGAACCTGTAACTTTCCCAAAGGCAACATTTTTATCATCTAACATAGTGCATTAGCGCACTGATGTTCTCGAACTGCTTCTAAATCTACTACTTCAGTTCACATCCACTTTAGCCTTGCCACAACTTAGTTTCACCAAACGGAAGTGGACAGAGAGCTAGAAGTTTTGGATTGTAAAGCAGGTAGCAAATCAAGGACTGTGATGATCCTTATTAGATTCCCAGTAGCTCAAATAACAAAAAAAAAACCGTAAAATACAAATTCTTGAGACAATCATACATCGGAATCTGCAGACAGAGGAAACCATAAACATTTAGTAATATTAAAACTTAGAGATTGTAAGTTCTTCAGTAAAAAAAAAAAAGATCATATAAAATAACAATAGAATACCGCAATGCAGTCTATTTCTAGATTCTGCTAAAGCAGCAACTTGGACATTACTACCAGTTCACTTGGCAGAGAAAGTTGAATTTTCTTTTAACAAAAGGGCAAGCAGATCATACCAATGATGCAAAACACAGGTACCCAAAACCTTAAGTACTCTACCATTCAAAAACTATACTGGACAATTGAGTGATCAAAAATTTACTTCATTGATAGGCATGTTAAAAATTATACAGTGTGTGAGTAAGAAAAGTTCCAATAAATAACCGACATGGAAGCCTCATCTATGGTAATCTCAAAATAAAACTCATGTTAGCAGAAGAGGAATAACATCCAATGACTATATCAAATTTATTTATGCACAGAAAAATAATCTAACTGAACTGTCAAGGAACCATAAATAAATCACTATACAAGTCCTATGACTTGTTGAATAAACTGTATGAGGAATTAATCATTGAAACTCAAGCACAAGTTTTGACATGAGAAACTTATTCTGATTAGTTATCTATCAGCTAAAAAGTATCGGTTCTGAGTGTTATCATCAGTGGTGCTGAAAGATAGCAGAAGAATATCAAGAATCACATGCACAATGTAAAACCCACGAAAGAGCTCAATGCCTGGAAAAGTTGTTATATATATTTATTTACCTTGAGCAATAATGTAGTTCACCTGTATATACACCGGCCTAGAAAGGTAAAACTAATCCCACAAAATCAGAACACAACAAAATCTATTTTCTAACACGTGATTTTGCCTCTAGAAGAACCTCTGACTGAATCTCATGCCACAAGTCAAAACTTTTCTGCTTCCTCTCGTCTAACTACGATCTACCTCTAGAGAATAATATAACTCCTTAAAAACGTTCTCCCAAGGACAAGCAGAAATTATTCAGAAGCCAGAATATAAATTGTTTCTATTGACAACAATAAGTGAACAAACCCATGATAATCAAATTTTGGATATAGAGCCATTGTGATTAGAGTTTTTCTAAAAAATATTCCAAACATCCTACACCATTAGGCCCTTTAATTGTAGGGAAAAGAAATTAGAAACATATACCTTACCCTTGTGCTAATATCCTGTAAGAGAAGGAGACTTTATGTAATTCGGCTGGAATTGAGTCTGCAACTCGAACCATTGCAATATCTGTTTCCAAGACAGTCTATTAGTTTCTAAACCATTAAAATTATCAACCTCGCTCAATTAACAACAAATTCACAACTTCAAAACCGGAAAAAATAAGGAAATCAAAATTAGTACCTGTTTGTAGGATTTGGAAAAGAATCAGAGAAAATTTTTTACAAATATTCAAGCTTCCTCTACCGTATTGAGGTAAAAAAATAATAGAAATTAAAAGGTTAAAAAAGATTTACCTGAATCAAAGAAAAAGAAATCAAAGAAACTGGTAAGCTGAAGAAGGAAGCCTTTTGTGATCCTAATTGTGAGGTTGCTAGGGGTTTTTATAGACATGCTGGCCGACAGGGGATTTCTATTCTCATCCCAAAACAAATCCGGCATTAGAGAGGAACTGAATTGCCTATTCATATTACAATTCCAAATTTATGGAAATATATAAATAAAAATTAAACAGCAATTTGCTAGTCCTATTACACATACAACTCCAAATCAAATAAAACGGTAATTTCCTAATCCTATTCCGTCCAAACACCTAGCTCCGGCTTGCTTCCTCCGTCATGATGTCCACCGTGATATGATATATGCGGTTGGTCCCCCACGAATTCGATCTCGTACAAGTGAAGGAAGTCATTCTTGCAAAATCTCTTCGACGGGATGACTCCGGTGGAACTTAGGATTTTTGTTTGGTTAAATTTGTGGAGGTGAAATCGGGATGGTACGAATTGGAGAAGCATATTTAAGGAAAATATATCTTTGAGGTTTAGTGGTTGCGGAGGATACAGAGAGGGAAGCGGCAGTGGCGGCTGAATCGACAAAGAGGGACCTGACTGAGTAGGCGGAGCACAGCCTTATAGAGGTTATTAGTGAGAAAAAAATTGGGAACAATGACGGGAGTTGTTTTGGGATTTTAAACGGTGTGAGTTATTTTTTATTTTTTTATTTTTTTTCCCTAGAGAAACCCACAAAACAAAGTCGTTTTGTTGCTGTTTCTTAACCAAAAACTTTCAGGTTTTGTAAATATATTATTTTCAGAAGTGGGGATTCCAAAGTTAAATCCTGAAACGACATCCTTTATAGGTTAGGGATTTGTTTTTTTCAAAAGGTTACGGGTTTTTTTTAATTGGAATAAACTGAATTTTTGAATTCTCGTTTTTGCCCTTAATAAGTCGCTGACATCACATCAACCTTATAAAAAGGTTACGGTTTTTTTTTAATTGGAATAAACTGAATTTTGAATTCTCATTTTTGCCCTTAATAAGTCGCTGACATCACATCAACCTTATCCGACGGACAAGATCGATTTGACGGTAGTCCTTGAATATTTCTTGGGCATTATTTTTTGACTACTGTGCTTTTTATTTAAGTATATAAGGACAATATATATTATTTTTGTTGGACAGATATAATATACTTATAATTTTATTAAAGTTGACATTACAACCTGTAAAAGTATGATAAAAACACCAATATCATATGCGAAAAAATAAATCACCAAATCATATTTTTATCTGAAAAGGAAAATAAATTAAATGTGTATATATATGTTTTCCACATCATTCAAAATTCCATTTTTCCTTACAAGCATGGTCCCGGATGGGAGTTGACCTTGGAATTGGCAAAGTCTTGGAAATGAGGTTGACAGGTCGGTCGCGGACCCAAATCAGTCAGTGAAACTGAAAGCGAGAAATATGTGTCAGCCATAAATTCGCTTAGGGCCGCTCAAGTGGAAAAGTGCACACCATATACGAGTAAGATAAGAAATCAAAAATGAGAAAATTCTCAGAAATTTCAAGATAACTTCTTGAATTCTATATCCAGAAAGCAATTGTTTGTGCCCCTGATGCTTTTAGTTTCATATTCCAGGTCCCCGGAATTAGTTCGTTGACATTGTCTCCTCCATTCAGTTGCAGTTCAGGAACTATATACTGCTTTTATGGTAGCTTAATGCAAAAAATGTTTCGTGCATCCAGTGTACCGCGTAGCCTGATTCGTTTTAAGCAAGTTCTAAGTTGTGAGCTTAAATGTAACTATGAATGAATAAGGTAGATTTCAGCTACTCTTCCTGCAAATTGAGTTACCGAGAAAGATAAATTGTTGTCCGAAAAAAGCTGGATAAATGTGGAATAAATGCAGAACTTTTGGGATGGGTCGAGAGCAGATCTGTTTGACATTACTATAACAAGAAATGTTGCAGAAGAAATGGATAAAAAAAAAAAACCTGAGCTGATGTTTCTGCATTTTCTCATTCCCATCTTGTATCCAAGTATAATCATCACAAAGTAAAACACTATGACCATTCGTTTCAATACACATTTTAATAGGTATTACTGCCATTTCGGGTTTTTTGTTGCAACAGGAGGAAAACCAACAAGAGGACGAGGAAAAATCAAAACTATTTCCAGTGCTAGCATCATGATTTGCTGACTGCAGAATCCTCAACTGGGTACCAAACTCGGTTATGAAACCACATTGAATCAGCTTCAAAAGCAAATCCATCTTGATTGCGATGCCATCCATATCTAGCATGTGTTCGGTTCTTTATTTCCAAAGTCGCATGACCAAAACTAGCCTCACGGAAAGCTGAATAATGGGGCTGTGGCTGTGTCATGCTGCAAATAAAATAGGTTGTAAATTCATGCATGACTCCAAGTAGATTAATGAGATCTCCAAGAAATGTTACCAAAATTATATCTTACTTGGTAGCCAGGCCTTCAAGGTTTCCTCCATCACCAATGGTTATGTATACTGGCGCAGACTGATCACTAATAGGTTGGCAAAGACCATTTACAATGTTGTATGCAATATTTGATACGCGTTCCTGTGAAGAACAAATTCTCATGTCAAATTTGAAAAGGCTAGAATTATTAATTGTGGCCACTTTCATCTGTTAACTTATCAAGCCAAGACTGGAAATTCACATACCGATCGTTCATAAGCATGGACATGACCGGCAAAGACAAGGTCTACTTTATACTTGACAAACCACGGCTCATACATTACTCGCATAGTTTCTCCCTCCATATAGTGATAATTGTAGCTGTTGTACCATGGGGAATGCATAAGAACAATCAGCCAAGGAGTTTCGCTCCTGTTAACTTTCGGCAGCTCCTCCTCAAGCCATTTGTACTGTGGAGTATATTTGCCTGACAAAGATCAAGTTTGAGTATGAAGGATAAGAAGCCTAAAAAGGAAACAATATTTCATAGTAGAGGAAGATCAAATTAAGCTTGGTCTCCAATTCCATTAAACCTCAGTACAGCTAGGCAGAAACATACAGTTCCACATATCTAAACCACAAACGAACAAAATGCTATTTTGTTTTTTGTTAATATATGAGCTTACCATAAGCAGAATATGAAGCCAGGACAATGATATATGCTGGACCCCTCTTGATTGAATACCAAAAGGGAGCAGTACTGTTCGATGCCTTATATGGAGTAGGATACCGATGAGTGAAGGGCTTGAATGGTTCTCCTTCACCCTGCCAAAAACGATTACACATTTAGATCAAATTCCCCTTTAATAGATGCATAAAACAGTTAATGTTCTATATATCGGTAAAAACTTCAGAAATCATCTCTAGAATCCAAAAGCAATTCGGGCACAAGGGTTTCTCATTACTGTTATGTAAAAGAGGAGTCTTCTTCCATACTAAGACTAACAGTCTAAATTTATAAAAGGAATCATTTATCTTTTCTAGCTTATAATGATATAATCGAGGAAGTAAAAATGGTCCGGCGATCAGGCAACTGCCTATAGTGCAGTTATATGAAGCAGGGTGGAAACATTAGACATTGACATATTTTACAGTTTGCATAAAACTGTAAGGGAAGCCGCCATGGCTGCGACAGAATTCGATGGTTTGAGATAGCTATAATAGCAAAAAGAACAACAGGAAACCACAAAAAGCTGATCTCAAGAGGAAAGTAAATTGATGAGGGGAGGCATTTTTTAGTCTTACAATTTCAGGAGCAAAATCAATCTCATGATTTCCTGCAGTCCAAATCCAAGGTTGATACGCAACACTTCTCTCAACAAACCTGCCCCATGTATCCCATCTCACATTGTCATGATTAGGATAATTATCAGCATATGAGAGATCTCCAACAAACAGCACAGTCTGTCCTTTGCTTGGATTTTGTTCATAATGAGTTAGTGTGTTATTGGAGTCAAAACTCTGTCCCAAATCCCCTGAAAAAATTGAAACACACATGCTAAGCTAATCAGGAATTTCCAATGAATCCTATCAAGAAAAATCTTCTTCTTTCAAACAAAAACAAAAGGTACCTATAAGGCCAAAAGTGTATGGAAAATCTCCAACCGGAGGAGGGGTAATGAACCAGAAAGTCCGGATTGTATGGCCGATACCAACTTGGTAATAGTATTTGGTGTTATACTGCTCCAGCAAAAACAAAGCAACCAAATTCTCAATAACTTCATAACCTGAATAACTACTGTGAATTTGCGTCAGTATATTCCGAAATCAAAAATGAAAAACTAAACACAAATCACCTCCAAATTTTTAAGGGTAGTGTGATGGATGAAGCCAGAGGAGTAAGTATAGTACTTATAAGTGGTGACTTCTCCTTTGGCTTTGTAATGTTTTCTGCTGTGCTCTTTCCAGTATATCACTTCACTTGAACCACGATGTTCCGTAGTAACCCAAGACACAATCACTGCTTTTCCATCATGATCTCCTTGAGTTATATGAACCTAATATATAATCAATCAGAACAAACGCATTGAGAGTAACACTATCCCAAAAGCCCAGCATTCCTAAAGTTTTTCAAGACCAATCAAAAATCAAAAATAAAAAACAACAACGACGAAACAGAATTCTAATGAGCTAAGCTACTAGTAGTTGTCCAATATCCTTAAGCTAATGGAAGACTCGGAAAACAAAAAGGAAGGAATCAGAATTCTAATGTGAGCCGAATTAGAATGATCAAGATTTCAATTCTTTGCAAGCATATACAATCACGAATTCAATGATTTTGTAGAGAGAAAAAATGACACCTGTTGGGGAGCATTGTAGCCGGGAGGAACCCGGAAAACATCAGCATCAAGAGGCATATCAACGGCTTTAACATCGGCTCGAACATAAACACTGGTGATTTTTCCGTACGCTGCATTTAAACAAAAACCCACAAGTGCAATCACGGTGAAGAAATGACAAACACTAGTTCTTGGCAAACCCATCTCGCCAAGAACCCCCAACAAAACCAAAACAAAAAGAAAAGAAAATCCCGGCAAGCCGGCTTTTTTCTTTATCAAAGAGTTGTGTCAGTCTTTTCCCACTTTTCTCTTGCTGTTTCGGAGCAAAATATGGAATGCTGTTTTGTTTTATCAATCAATGCTGATGATGATACCGTAATGTGTCTGAAAGGATTGGATTTATATTGGGGGGGGGAGTCAAGGCTTCGGCCCAAGCCTACGTGACCGGGAAATTTGAGTAATTGAATTATTACGGGTCTTTGAGTCGATATTCGAATATTCATGAGTTTATGCCTATGAAGTAGTATAAACATACGGGGTTTATGAATAATTTTGTGATTAAAGTCAACTACTCATTCAGGTCCTTAAAATATTTAGATGTCAGAGGAAATGTATTGATAGAATTTGGGGAAAAAAAATAACAGCTATTGATTTAGTAATAAATGAGGAATTAGTATTTGGATTTGGACGCTATTTTTTTGACACTAGATTAAGTATGGGGGGGCGTTTTCTGGTGGAGGAGGATAAGACTGGAAAATATGAAAACGAATTAGATGTTTTTGAAATAAATACACATATTAATCAATTACGATGCATCGACCGTAATAATAAGAGAATCATTCCACTCCGGCTTCATTCACGTTCAGGATTTGTTTTTATTTCTACAGAATCCTTCCGAATGCGCCAAAATGTAAGTAAATGGAACACAATGTAATATAAGAACTACACCCTCCATTCACAAATAGATGTCGCTGGAGAGATTTCACAAAGTTTAAGGAGACAATAATTATCTTGTTAAAATACTATAATACCCTCATTTATTCTTAATTCAATTGTAGTCTCAATAAAATTCACTTCTAATACAATTCTACATTAAACATCACTACAATTTCCAATGTAAGGGTAATATTGGAAAAAATTAACAAAATATGCCTCGATTTGTGAGAACGACATCTATTTTGGAATATTTGGGTTTTCCTCCAACGACATCTATTTGTGAATGGAAGGAGTATTCATTAAAAAAATATATTTTAATATCGTGTTATGGTTGTTTGCCTCTTTTGTTATGAATAGAAAAAAGGAAATAAGATTTATAAATGTGTAGTATCATAATTTCCCTTTTTTATCTTTTACATTATATTAACAAGAGATACAAAATATATTATTGCCGTAACTCAACAAATTTATTATTATTCTATGCTCATTCTTGTTATTTGTGAAGATGATAAAGTTAAATGTTAATATATGAATATGAAACGGAGCGAGGGTTCCATTTAGTTATCTGTGAAATGGCCAAATGTGTAGATTAAGGAGACAAAAAGGAAAAGAATCCAAACTTAGGGGGCAGGCATGTAGGGATTTGGATGTGGACGTACGTTTGATCTTCCAGTGTTAAGAGATTACAAAATTGTGCCATATGCCATTTTATTAATACTCCTTAGTACTCCCTTTGTCCTAAAATTATTGTCCAGTTTGAGAATTCACTTTTAGTATAATTTGAACTAAAAATGAAAACTCAAATTGGACAATAATTATGGGACGGAGGGAGTACTATATAGCAATATTGATATGACTAGATTAAATGGTTAAAGATATTTTCCGCTTTTATGTAGTTATGTCCGAGTACCTACTTTCAAATTTCCAAAAAAGTACCTGCTTTCAGTGTTCACATTAGAATTCGCGATAAATCCGGTAGTTTAGCTGGGAATCGCAGACAAAATAATTCTTGGATTTACATGTTTATTAAATCCAAAACAAGCAAGATTCATTCATTCAGATCCCGGCTCCATTTTCAATACCTCATCTATTTTGTGAAACTAATATTACTCGCCAAAACTACTTATTAGAAAGAGATATTTTAACTATTTTTATACAAGACGATTTTCGATACGTATGATGTAATTAATCTTGTTGACCATGCCCATATTAACACGTTTATACTTTATGGACGTTATGAATAGTGACTGCATTGGTGCAATTTGAGGGCATTCGAATTAGATAGTTTTAGCTTTTAGGTTGTGGTCTTGCCCATACTCGGAGGATTGCAAAATGAAATTAAAAAGTGGACCAAACTGATCTAGCTTTTCGTGGTCTTTGTGGCCAACCCATGAGCGGAGTCCATGAGGGTGATTGACAAGCAACTGTGAGAGGTCACAAATAGATAGCAGAGTAATTGAACGTTTCTCGTTGAAACTTGAAATAAATAGACCAAGTCGTCTGTCTCGCTTTTTATGTGGTACCCCTCTGTTTGTTTGATTTTTTTAAATTATTTTAATAATAATTATTCATCCCAACATATTTTTTTTACATTCTTAAAACGTTATTGCATCAATAAAAAGAATAAACTCAAGATAACGAATAAAATTGGATGATTTTGAACATGAACTCTGTCGTAGTATTGATCCTGGTTTCCAAACGCCACTGGTATTGGTATGTGGCAACTCCAAAACTTGAAGAATTATTTGGACTAAAATGCCTAGTTTCAATTGAATTGTTAAAAAATAAAAAGATACGTTGGGCCTGAGATGCCTTTTTTAAAAAAAACAAAAAAATGTTGTCCGGAGTAGCGAAGCTATTTTAACAGAGGTGTGGATGTGCAAAAAAAAACAGAGCTGTGGGAGTGCATGTATGGGCTAAGGCTCTCGTTGGTACATTTGTTAAACACAAAAAAAAAAGTAAAAAGGAATTAAAAAAAAAACGCTTATTTAAGTCAACTCATCCTCAATTATTTGGTCCCTTAAAAGTTGAAAAGTGCACCAATTCACGAATAACAACCAAATAAGTTTCAAGACTTAGTTTAATGCGAGCTAAGATGATTGTCTCTCTCAAGCTCTAACTATAAGATACAAATTTATATTAATTTCGGTCTTACTTTATATCTATAATTAGTATCAGAGAGAGTATTTAATTTTATATCTAAGAAAAAAAACTCCGTTAAAGTTACGAATAACTATAAATTTATTGGCCAATATTTGGTTCAAAGTTCAAACCTAAATTAGTTCAGACGATAGATTTAGATACCGAATGCATAATATACAGAAGAGTAAGTGATGGAATACTTGTTACCAAGTTAGATGTACCTTTTATTCCAATTCCTTGGTTATATTATGCCCTCAAAGATTCCCTACCGCTCAATACTTAAACCTTAGGGATGGTGTGTGATAGCACTTCCCCTGCCTGCAGCTTTTGTTTGAAGCGTTAGATTGCAGTTCACACTTCGTGTTCAAATGTAATGAAATTGGCAATAATTTCACCCAATTTGCCTCTTTTATAGTTGCAAATTGGCAGTCGTGTATAGCGAAAAATATCTTTTCACGTAACCGACTCTCGCTAAACTCAATATTCAGCGGTCCGATGAAGATATGAGGGTGCAAGTGGAGCGTTTTAGTAACCAGATTTTTGTCCCTAAGCTGGATAAATGAGGAACAAATGTCGAACTTGGGATGGGAAAGCACTTCCAGGTAAGATAAAACTACAACAAGAAATGTTGCAGACGAGGTGGAAAACTGAGTTTATGGTTCAGCATTTTCTCATTCCAATCATCTATTAATTCGAAGTATAATTAGCACACGGGCTATAACACCACTTCATTGGGAGTTATCCTTCATTGTAACTATTATAGGACATTTAGGTTCAGCGTGGGCTCGTAACTATCACTCCCATTCTAGGTTGATAGTTGATACTGCGAACAAGAATGAACACGATACCAGAGTAAAAACAGAAAAGCTATTTCTATAGTTAAGCATCATGATTTGGTGGCTGCAACATCATCAACCGGGTACCAAAATCGGTTATGAAACCACATTGAATCGGCTTCAACAGCAAAACCATCTTGGTTGCGATGCCATCCATATCGTGCGTGTGTACGATTTTTTATTTCCAAAGTTGCATGACCAAAACTAGCTTCACGAAAAGCTGAATATTTGGGCTGCGGCTCTGTCATGCTGAAAATAGAAGAAATATACTAGGTTTATAATCAAGAGTTCAGGTGAGACTAATGAGATCTTCTAGACATGTTACACAACTACTTTAGCGTACCTGTTGGCAAGGCCTTCAATGTTTCCTCCATCACCAATGGTTATATATACTGGCGCTGATTGATCACTGCTAAGAGGTTGGCAAAGTCCATTTACAATGTTGTATGCAACATTTGAAACACGTTCCTGAGAAGAACAAACAAACAAATCTTCTGTCAAAATTAAGGATTACCAAGTATATGAAGTGTTGTCATCTTTCACGTGTTAACTCTATAAGCTAGCCAGTGACCAACTGATCGATGAAGTCCACATACCGATCTTTCATAAGCATGAACATGACCAGCAAAGACCATGTCTACTTTGTATTTCACAAACCATGGCTCAAACATTACTCGCATACTTTCTCCTTCCATATAGTGATACTGGTAGCTATTGTACCAAGGGGAATGCAAAAGGACAATTAGCCAAGGCGTTTCTCTTCTGTTAACTTTTGGTAGCTCTTCCTCAAGCCAATTGTACTGTGGAGTATACATACCTAACAAAGATCAAGTTGAGGAAATATGAAGGAAAAGAATCAGTTTTGACCAGTCACACAACAACCAACAGTGTGAAGGAAGATTTGATACAAAGCTATCTCCAAATCCCAACGCTTTCCAGCTATTAAAACCACAAAAGAATCTCCTTTTATCTATTATTTTAGTAATCAAGGTATGACCTTACCGTAGGCAGAATATGAAGCCAAAACAATAATATAAGCTGGACCTCTCTTGATTGAGTACCAAAAGGGAGCTGTACTGTTTGATGCCCTATATGGTGTAGGATACCGATGAGTGAATGGCTTGAACGGTTCTGTTTCACCCTGCCAAATTGCATTAACTTTTTGTCAAAACTTCTGTTTCAAAAACTCATAAGAAAGTGAATGTTCCATATCAAACGCGACCAAAATTACAATATTTATTGTTGAAAATCTAAAAGCATGCGGGAACAAGAGGTTTCGATTAGAGCTTATATGAAAGCAGAGGCTTGCTTCATCTGAAGATGGTTAGTAAGCTTATGATCAGTATTTCCTAGAAAAATTATACTCATCCCAGCAATCTGGTAACATGGACACAAGGAAACATGGCTGCTACAGAGTTTATAAATTGAAATAGAACTAACAACAGCAATCCACAAAAAGCTCATTCCAAGAGAAAGTAAATTTACAGGTCATTTAGAGACTTACAATTTCAGGAGCAAAATCTATCTCGTGATTACCCGTAGTCCAAATCCAAGGTTGATAAGCAACACTTCTCTCCACAAACCTAGCCCATGTATCCCATCTATTATTGTCATGATTAGGATGATTATCAGCATACGACAGATCCCCAACAAACAGCACTGCTTGCCCTTTGATGGGATTTTGTTCATAATGTGTTAGTGTCCTATTTGAGTCGAAAGTCTGTCCCAAATCCCCTGAAAAATGTAAACCACCAAATTTGTTCACATGATCCCAGAACTCGCCCTTTTCGAAACCCATAAAAGAAATAAAAACATTACCTATAAAACCAAAAGTATATGGAACATCAGGACCAACTGGAGGAGGAGTAACAAACCAGAAAGTTCGAGTTGTTGGAGCAGTCCCAACTTGGTAATAGTATTTGGTGTTGTGCTGCTCCAACAAAAACAGAGAATTCAAATTTTCAGTAACTTCCAAACCTGTATCATAACTATGATTTTGTGACAAAAATTTCAGAAGTAAAAATAAACAGAATGTCACCTCCAAATTTTGAATGGTACAGTGATGGATGTAGCCAGAGGAGTAAGTATAGTACTTATAAGTGGTCACTTCTCCTTTAGCTTTGTAATAATGTTTTCTGCTGTGCTCCTTCCAGTATGTCACTTCACTTGAACCTGGTTCTTCCATAGTAACCCAGGAGACAATCACTGCTTTTCCATCATGATCTCCTTGAGTTATATGAACCTAAAATTTAACCAATCTCAAATGCATTAATTAAGTAAAAACTAACCCAATAGACAGCATTTCTAACAAGATGCACAAAACAGAATTCTTATGAATTTGAACTGAGGGAAACCGAAAAACAGAAGTCTAATGAGATTGAAGTAAGTGAAATGAATTCAAACTGAGTCACAAAGAGGATATGATAAAATGCATCATGTACTTGTACTGACTGCCTAACACTCCTAATTGAACAAAGAAAGCAGAGTTCTAATGGCCGAATCAGAACATCTAGATTTCAAACTGTTGGAGCATGTATAATCACAAACTCAATGACTATGTTGAGATTAAGGATCAAAAGAGGGGACCTGTTGAGGAGCATTGTACCCGGGAGGAACCCGGAAAACATCAGAATCGAGAGGCATATCCAAAGATTTCTCTTCAGCTCTTACATAAGTACTGGTGATTCTTCCGCTGCAAAAATATGCAGCATTCAACCAAAAACCCAGAAGAGCAATCACGCAAAGGAAAGGAGAAATTCTTGATCTTGGCAAAACCATCTCGCCAAGAACAACCAATCAGCCGGTTTTTCTTTCTTTCTTTTTCTTCTTTTTTTTTTGGGGGGGGTTTTAAAACAGGACTTCTTCCTTATTTCCCTGTTTTCTTTTGTTGTTTTCGGAGCAAACTATGGAACACTGTTTTGATTTTATCAATGATGATAATGGAATGAATGAAATGATATGGTGATCTGTGCCACTGAGGATGGGATATATAGAGCTGCGAGTCAAGCATGGCTCGGAATCCAACCTATTGCGAGTTGTTACCGGAAAATTTGAGACCCTTTTGTGTAAAATTGGATTTAGTAGACTCTAATATTCATGAGTTTGTGCTAATAAACAACACACGGGATATAATTTGTCTTTTTTTTTTTAATTTGAATACTAAGAATATGTCTCATAAAGTTAACATTACTAAATTTTACTATAATGGTCGAAGAAATATTGATGGAGATTTGGGAGGAAAATGGGGGGAAAAAACTACTAATCAATACAATATTTGATAGTATTCTGCTTCTTATGTTCTACAAAAATAGTTCAAAGTATAACTTACGAATTTTACTAAAAATAATATTATTGATAAAATATAATGTGAACTATTTTTTCTAGATCAAAAAAGTAATGGATCAAGAGGATGGACGCTATTTTTCGCATACGCTTTGTGTTTTTTACTAGAGAAATGTAAATATGTAACGAGTTAGATGCGTTACAGGATACTAAAAGATTTTATCTAAGAAAATAAAATAAAATATAAATACTGATAGATGGCAACAAATACATATTCATGAATTCAATGAAATCAAATGACACTAGGGTCTACTTCTTAAAGATATTTATGTTATTTCAATTTGGATTAGTTGACTTCGGTCACAGGTTACATGATATATTTTATATGAAAATTTCACAATAGAGAAATAGGGTGAGATCTATTTATGCTATTTGAAGTTCGTTTGAGTTAATTATTCCTAATAAAAATGGTAAAGTGTGGGTAATGGAGGAAAAAGAAACGCAGTCCAACATTGGTATTCTGGATGTTGACGTTCGTTTGACTTACCAATGATATTATAAAATGCCATAATCTATCTTTTAATAGTACTTTTTCCTTTTAATGAAGTATAGTTAGTACTGAACTAATATTTTAACCCCAGTAGGTCGCTTTTGATATGTGATGGAGATAGTTTTCCCGTGCTGTATTTTACGTCCAACATAACGTTCACATCAGGATTTTCCATAAATCCTGAGAAAATTAAAGTGAACCTCGAAACAAGTCATCAACCTTTAATATATTTTCACTCTTAGTTATTAATTAAATTTATTTGTAACACAGGTTAGCTTACTAAAGTTTTAATCCATTTCAGATTATTCTGTTAATTTTGGCCGCTAAATAGTGATGTAAATCCATTTTTTATATGTTTTTGGGTTCAGGGGTATTTTTGTTATTTTCTTATTTTTTTTAATTTTTTTATCTTTTAATTTTTAATTTTTTTTTTTTACAATTCTTCTTCTTATACTTCCTAACTTGTATATACTGGTAGTATAATTCTAAATTTTAAAAATTTTATTTTTCTTTTGTATTTTAACTTCTAGATTATAAAATTTTTTAAAAAAATTTAAGAAATGAAGAAGAAAAATTTGAGCTAAAGTAAACATGAAAATTAATAATTTACCATTTTAAACAAAAAAATTAAAATAATTAGCTAAGACAAGTTGTTTCTTCTAGGTTATTTAATTTTTTTCAACTCGATTAAATTATTTAATTATTAATTTTCACGTTTCTTATTCCTTTTAATTAATAATCTACAAGTTAATATACAAATGACAAATTAATTTTCAAAAATGAATTTGTTTGTCATTTGTATCTTAACTTCTAGATTATAAAAAAAAAAGGAACAAGAAACGTGAAAATGAATAATTAAATAATTCAATCGAGTTGAAAAAATTAAACAACCTAGAAGAAACAACTTGTCTTATCTAGTTCTTTTAGTTTTTCTTTTTGTTTAAAATGGTAAATTATTAATTTTCATGTTTACTTTAACTCGAATTTTTCTTATTCATTTCTTAAATTTTTTTAAAAAAATTTTATAATCTAGAAGTTAAAATACAAAAAAATAATAAATTTTTAAAATTTAGAATTTTACTACCAGTGTATACAAGTTAGGAAGTATAAGAAGAAGAATTGTAAAAAAATAAAAATAAAAAATTTTAAAAGATCAAAAAATCAAAAAAAATAATAAAATGATAAAAATACCCCTGAACCCTAAGGCATGTGAAAAATGGATTTTCGTCACTATTTAACGGCCAAAATTAACAGAATAATCTGAAATGGATTAAAACTTTAGTAGGGTAACCTGTGTTACAAATAAATTTAATTGATGACCTTGAGTGGAAATATACTAAAGGTTGATGACTTGTTTTGAGGTTCACGCAATTAGCTATATATAAATCGGAGGAGGAAACTGAGGACGTCTCTAAAACGAAAAAAAGAAAAAGAAAATATCAAATCCAACATATTAAGATCCATACTGTGTGGTAATCGTTATGTTCTATTAAGAATTGTGTTCATTATACAATTTTAATTCGATAAATACCATTCTTTTTGGAGGATGGAGAGAATGTTATTTACATTTTAATACTCCCTCCGTCCCATAATTATTGTCCACTTTACCCAAAAAATTTTGTCCCAAAATTATTGTCCAATTTGACTTTTTTTATGGATCAAGTTACACATTTGTCCTTAGTAAAAAACATTATTCATAAAATCTTAGTGGTTAAATAATTACTTATGTAGGGGTATATCCGGTTGTTTAAGGTAAAATATAGTTAAGTTTGACAAAAAATAAAATCTTTCATTTTAGTAAAACTGGACAATAATTATGGGGCGGAGGGAGTATAATAATATCGTACATTTTGAAGATTAAAAATGAAAATCACAACAAAACATAAATCCCCGCCCACGTTAGTATCCTTGTATCTATGAATGGCGTGGGTTGGCGCCACTTGACAGCATCGATTTGGAAAAATGGAAATATGCCCTACGTCCATTTTGTAACTGATTCAGCTCATTATAGTGTTTTAATTATTTTTTTAAAAAAAAAACAGAAAAGAAATACGACTAAATTTTTAGTTTTGGCAATCATGCTCCGACTCAAAAAGAGAGTACCATTCCCATACGTAGAGGATTTCATTTCAGAGTGGAGCAGCAAAGATTCTATCTGTTTCTTATTCCAATTTCTAAAGGGGGCACCACCTATGAGTATGAGCCAATAGCCATTAGTCCATGAGAATGATGGACAAGAAGTGAAGAAACGGGAAAAAGGTGGCAAGCAATTGATAAAGTAGAAGAACATTTTGTCATTGAAATTTATCCATGAAATCTTCAAAAAAGAAAAAACGATTCTATAGGATTCAAAGTGCATTAATAATGAGGAACAAAATGTTCCCCCGTCCCATAATTATTATCCAGTTTTAATTTTCATCTGTAATTCAAATTGTACTAAAAGTGAAATCTCAAATTAGATAATAATTTTGAGACAGAGGGAGTACAAGAAAAACGGTGAAAACTCAAATGATCTTTACCGCCATATTAATCAATGATCTCTAAACATGAGTGGTAAATGGCAACTTTCATGAGGAAGTAAATCCAGTCGGCAATTCGGCACTAAACCTTGAATTGAAGGAACGAAAATGCCTGGCCTCAATTGAAATTGTTCAAGGAAGAAGTTAGATAAGTTGAAGTAGAAGAAATGCTTATGTAAAGTCAACTTGCTTTGCTGACTGGAAGATAGATGAAATTGGGAGCAGAATCTGGGGTGGACTGAATGATTGCGTAAAGATGTTTTTGGTATTGTGGAATCGTGCAGAAAATAAACAAGTAGATCAGACTAGGCCGGAACCAGATAAAGTGGAAAACTGTGAGCCTTTTTATGATGGGAAAGGGGCCCAATTCTCTCCTCCTCTTTCCCAATTTTGATTTTTCTTAATTATCGTTTATCTGTATTAATTTAATTCAATAAATAATAGTATAAAATAAGAGAGATTTTTGTGACTGGTGGAGAATGTATTGTTTGACATCACAAGTTTGATATTCATAAACAGATGAGTGGTATCCAGTCAAATCCACTTTTCGCTTGCTTTCAACTAGCAGATACTGATGAACATTAATCGTGCCCAACTGAAATCCATGGTTCCCTTTAACCGGAAAAAGGAGGAAATGATGAATTTTGAAATCCCATATATATATATATATATATATATATATATATAATCGTCTGGTCAGAAAGATAATCCCTTTTTCATAAAGAAGAAGGCCATACTCCAAAAGTTCCGATTGTTTTGTCAATTACTAATTCAAATGACGCCTTTATTCTGATTTTATGATCTTCTTGCTGGTTATGTGACTATTGACATTGACTATTGACATCTTCAAAGGACAAATGAAAAGAGCATTACGGTTTTAAAACTGGTTACAGACATTTACAAACATGAAAATTTGATGAGTATTAACGGCTAACACTGCATAATTCATTCATACTATATTATAATTGCTGAATAATTTGTAGAATTTGGTGCTCCTTCCCACTCATTTATTTAGTTAATTGTTTTTGCAATCAAGTTATAAATTTTATAGCCCCTCATTTAATTTAGTCAAAAGCATTTTTGAATAAACATTTTCTTCTATTTATTTTATTATTATTTCACTTATTACTCATTGTCTTAATAATAATAAATTACTCACTTATATCTAATTTTATAATAATAAATAGTCCTTTATTATCAAACAATATAATGGCATTTGATCTCCCTTCTATTATTTTTTTTTAATATTACAAAGAAATCATTTCTCATTATTAGGTGAATTTAATCGGTCTAAAAATGATTTTGATGATTCTAACCATTAATTTTTTTATTTTTAACAATGCAAAAATAATTTATCATTATTAGGTAAATTTGATTGGCTTTTAAACGGTTTCGGTGATTCTAACGCTTCTAAATTCCTAATACATTTTCTTCTTCTCTTCTTCTTTTTTTTTTTTTTAATATAATAGGTTTCTTGATGATAGTTTAGATTTTTCCGTACCTCAAAAGAATATTAGAAATCACGTAGCGTAAATTTATATAATTTCAAAGAGTGTAAGATTTAGTCACTTCTATTTTCTTTCTTTTTTTTCCTTTGAACTCAATCTCGAGTCTATAAGAAATTATCATCTTTCATTGCTCATCTCCCTCTTTTTCTTTAAAAATTTAGGTTTTGTTTTTGAATTTTTTTTCTTCTTTTTTAAAGTTGTTCTTTTTTTTTTTGTGATACAGAAACTTGATTTTATTTTATTTCTCACTGGTCTTGCCCTTTTTTTCACAATCAGAATACTATATATCACTTTTGTTGAAATAAGAAGTGACACGTTTTACTGATACCATTTTGTTCTCACAATGTAAAACTATAAACTTTTTACTACTGATAAATTTGTTAACATATTTTGTAGATAATATACGAGACATAATGTAATTTACCATTTTAATTATTAAAATAAAGTCTTTTACATAATTTACACTAAGTCACTATACATAGTGTACGCGCGAAGCGCGTCTAATCCATCTAGTAATGATTAATTTGTGAAGTTTTAAAGGTTGACATCTGATCTACGACTTGCATTATGATGGGGCAATGCTATCCCATTACTTTATTGGGCCTCAGTAACTAAAACCTAAGGGCCACAAAAGGTCCATCCAAGAGTCATGGGTACCCATGTGCTACGGGAATATCAATAGGGGTATGTTAATTCAAACTGTCGTTCGAGGCTCATCGCGGCCGTTCATGACAATCGGGCGGGAACCCACCCCAGCCGTCCGATGATGGGGCATCCCTCCGCTCACCCTGAGGTTTGGGGCAAAAGCGGGCCTCACCTGTAAGGGCTCGAGTCGCAGAGGCCTGATTACTAGAGCCTAAGCCCGGATAGAATTTCAGGCCTTAGCCTCAAGTAGGGGCAGTTGATGGGGCAATGCTATCCTATTGTCTTATTAGGCCTCAGCAACTATAACCTAAGGGCCACAAAAGACCCATCCAAGAGCCATGGACACCCATGTGCACCCATGTGTTAGGAGAATATTTCATATTCTTTTTTTTTTTGTCTATAAAAGGAGAAACTCCAAAGCATTTCAAAGAGGTTCTTTCTCTATTTAGTTTTAGCACTTTAATACTTTCTTTCTCTCTCTAAGATCTTTTACTTAAGTACCGGAGTGCTAATCCTATTTTACAAGACTTTTAGGAATTTTAGCACTGTTCCGTGGGCCAACCAAGGCCCGCACTCTAAAAAAAAGATGACTAGTGAAAAAGAGAGAATATATTGATGCGACTTGCGAGAATCACTTGCATTTGCGTGAGGTTGGTGAATCACAAACTAATGGTGGGCTTTGATTTTTTCTTTTTTCTAAGCTTTTAAGGGAGAAGATTAACCTTATATAATCTCAGAGGAGAAAATTGCATTTATTCCTATCCTCTGCAGAGGCTACCAATTGTGATAACAATACAGAGTCTATGGGGGACATCATTCATCATAATGTGTGAGAATGAAAACGTTTTTTAAAAAATAATTTTAGTTAGCGGGTAATATAAATTAAGTGCAGAATTAGGCAGATTGATTAACCAGAAAATAAAGAAAATAAATAAAATTAGGCAGAGGGCATCCAGCAGTACTCGAATGAGAAAAAGCAGCGGCCAATGGTCCAGACTCCAGAATGAGGAAAGAATGGCCCAGAGGACAGGCTTTTTAGAGTTTTTCCCTATAGCCATATTCAGCGATCCAGTTTCCTCCTTTGACTAATTGAAAGAATCCATTCATCTTCAAAATAATTCCTGGTTTCCATTTCGAGATAGTACATCATCTCATTAATAAACTTTATATTCATCGATGACTAATTGCAAAATATGGATTTGTTTGGCCAATATTTTGTTTTTGTTTTTGTTTTAATTTTTAATTTGAATTTGAGATATGATTTAAAATGTGTTTTGAGAAAAAATTTAAAAAGTTATTTGAGAAATATTTTAAATAAAATAATAATATTTTTATATCACTATTAGACCACCTCCACCGGACCGTCCATCGCCACCGCCGGACTATCGCCGGCCGACGACTGACCGGCCGTATTCCGGCCAAGTCGCCAAAATCCGACGGGCCGGTCGCTGGCGGCGGTGGTGGGCAGTCCCGCGGCGGAGGTGATTCGGTGGTGGTGTAAAAATAATGTTTGAAATAAATTTTAAAAAGTAAATTAAAAATTATTTGAATAATTTTGGATTTTGTGTTTGAGATTTGTTTTAAGAGGTAAAATGAGACAAAATGCAAAATTTTTTGTTGGCCAAACATTCCGCACATAATGGACTTGCAACTCTTTGTTATTGCCAATTTGCCATTCTACATCATCCCTAGGACAATCAAAACCTAAAAGGCTAAAACAACTGAAAAGGCAAAAGAGAAGCTAGCAATTGCAATGCATTTTAGAATACCAAAGAACTGAATCTTGGGGACATTTCACATAGCCTAACCAAGTATACTACGAGGCTGTAGCTAGTGTGACTGTGAACCAACTTCCCGTTTCCACACCTCAAATATCATTTGGTTATCACGAAAATTAGAAACAGGTGGAGAGATTTGTTGGAGGTTTCATTAAGTTTCATATGTACAGATCCAGATGAAGAATATAAAACAGAAATGTTCTGATCAAATTATATGTAAGATTATACATCTCGAGCTGGAAATGTAGCAGAGAAGATGATGAAACACAGGTAAAGGGAGAATTGGATGACTAAAACAAAGAGTATGATACAAAAGAAACGCCTCCTACTCAGGCCATCGCAGTTGCACCAGTGTTGATGGACTTGTCTTCCACAGTTGTAGCAAAATGAGGTAAGGCATCTACATTCCAAATGTTTGAAAAGAAAGGGGGAAATCAGCTTACTACTTTGCAGAGTTATACATTGCCATTCTATATATACATCGGGGATAATCAAACCCAAACAACTGAATAATGAACTTGCTAGTAATTGCAGAGCAAAATATGTTTAAAACGTCACAAAGAACAGAAACTTAAGCGAAGTTTCACTTATCTTAGCCCAGTATGAAAGTTATATGTTCATGAGAATATGAAAGGCTTTCCAGGCCTCACTTTACGCATTCGGTTATCTGTAACTTAAAGGATCAGCTAGCAGGATTCATACATCCATACCAACAAATACCAGATTAAGAAGCTTAGGGAAAGAGGGGGAAGAAAAAGAACTGAAATATCCAGACCAACTAGCAATTTCCCGCTGAAAGTTATTATACATGTCAATATTGGCACATAAAATACAAGAAGAATAATAACAGATTAAAGCCCAACACGATGTAAAGCAAACAGTTAAAGATACGTTGGCAGCGTCCCCCGCAATCACACCCATGCTGGACTAGTCTTCCACAGCTGTAGCAAAATGAGGCATGGCATCTAAGATCATATCACGTGAAAAAAAGGGAGGAAAAAAAAATCAGATAATTCCACTTTTCTAATCTTCTCCTACTAGCCTTTTTGTAAACAGATTCAGCAAATAAGGAAATAGTATAATCAGTGCACCTTTACTCTAATTTGTAGAGCTGAAACAAGTAACTTTATAGCCCTACAGAATTAATCAAGGTTTAAAGTGCCTCTAATGTCTCCACAACTTCAACAGCCGCAGGAAAAAAAAAAAAAATACAATGGATGGAGAGAAATATCAGGTAAGTATGAACTTGATGTCTCGCGAAATTCCATTTAGCAATATCACGATGCTTAAGAAGCAATATTTGAAGTGCCTATCACAGATGAAGTAAAAATACCAGAAACAATATGAACTCGGTGCTCCGATTTCTGAGCTATCATTTGAGCAACTTTCAATTTAATCTACTTACCAGGTTAACAAGTAAAGTTAGGGACAGTATGAACAACTTTGTAGCCTCACTTCATACATCAATTGGATAGCATTTCACTTTAGAGTTACAAAGAGAGGTTTTGTGAGTTCATATTTACAGATAACAGATGAAGAAGCAACTATAGTTTACTACCCTTAAGTGCATCAAACTGACTCATGAAAAAAGAAAGGGCGCATGAAAGGGGACAACAAAACAGCCCAGAAAGTGACAATAGAAGCCAGATTCATTTAAATAGGTTGCCTCCAGAAAAACAGGATTCCAATCACATTGACACCCACGGTTGAAGTTCCTTCCACATCCATAGCAAAATCTAGAACTACGTCTACATTCAAAAAGTCATTATGTGAAACACAATTAGATCGCTTACTCTTTTACCATGACCAGATCCCTAAGCTGATTCTTAAACTTCTCTTCTAGTATAGCCATGGAGAAAAGGCATAACCAACTAACAAGAACAACTAGCCACCTTATCTAAAAGGATTGGACCTCTTTTATGCAGTAATCATGATATATATTTAACACGGTGTAGCAATTCAGCTTTTAAGTTTGAACAGGAAGGAATCAGCCCTGTAAATCTAAAGAAGTCTTACAAGCCCAAATTCCCCTTGTATCGAGCGATAATACTTGAAGTTTTACAAACAACTCAAACTAATTGAACTTCTTCTGGCCATGAAGACAGAATTTTCCAATTTCCACCAATTCATTTCTTGCTCCACCCAACCCAGCCCCCACCTATGGGCTCCAAAATAAATTATAATGAGCTAAATTTGTGTCCTCTTTCATAGTAAAGGAAGAAACGAGTTTTTTAACCACAAAAACACAGTCCAATCATATGAAGGTCAAACCATTTTTAAAATTTAGGAATCCCCAAAACATACGGTTAATTTAAAATTAACCTTTTGTAGCAAAAGAAAAAAAAATTAAAAATTGACCTTGTCTATTACCTGCATTTAACAATTCTGCAGCCTGCAATGAGCTCAACAAAATGATGACATCGAGGGCATCTCTTCCACTTCCTCTGCTCTGCAAGAACCCCAAATGCACGGTCGTTTTGATCCCTCAACTCGCCAGTCTCTTCACACCTGAACCCAGAATGCCATGGAATTTTGCACCGAAAGCAAAATGATCTCTTGCAATTGGGACAAGTTGCCTTCTTCACAGTCCCTCCGCACTCATTCACAATCAAAGACGAACAGTTCACATTAGGGCAATAACACCGGTCCATTCCCATAATCGCCGATTCACAGAGCCCGTCACACCACCGGACGAACAGCGGGTCACCCACCAGAACCCAGTACTCTTCCGGGTCGAGAAATTCAGAGCAATTCAAAGCCGGACAAGGTATTCTGGGCACGCTGTCCTCCAGCTTGGCTTTGATGTACTTGATCATGCAGTCGTTACAGAAATAATGAGTTCGGCACCTGGGATTTTGGGTTCTGAACGTCTGTGTTGCTATCTCGATTGGCTCTATGCAGATTTCGCAGGTAAAATTCTGGCCCGGTGGTGGCAGCTCTAGTGGCTCTGCCGCTGATGGCGGCGGTTGTGAGGCGGGTAGTGGCGGTGGCGGTGGTGGAGGTTCGGGCCGGCCCGGAGTGGAAGTAACGTTCCCCATTGGGGTAAATTATGTTCTTTCCTATAATCTAACGCAAACAAAGCACATCAATTGATCGGAGGAGGAAAAATTCAGTTTCAGAATCGAACAGTTGGGAATTGAAGTAGTAGTAGTAGTAGTAGTAGTACTAGTAGTAGGAAATTACAGTGGGGTTGAAAGATGAAAATTTTCTTGGTAAAGAAGTAGTACTAATCTGTTGGCTTTTATGAGGTTTATCTATTTAGCGCAAAACTTCTCTGCATTCACGAAATTGAAGCGTAAAAAACAACTTCATTTTGCCTAATCGTTTAAGAAAACCGAAAAGAAAAATAAAATTGAAGGATGTAAAGTCACATGCTTTGGATTTACTATGAATCTTGTACCCAAAAAAAATTAAAAAAAATTGACATTTTAGAAGTGTTGTTTTACACATCGTTATAGCAATCCTTATCTTATTTGGTGCCTTCTGGAAATTTGGATTTGTGCATTAAACCAGTATAATTCTAACGTGTAACAATGAACTTTAATTTCAATTTTACCTAGCGATTTAGTGCTTCCTACTAGAAAAAAGAAATAATCTGGAAACTATGTAGCACAATATGATCCAACGGTTTGGACTCTAAAAATGAACCAATCGATCTAGGGGCGTCATTCTCTATAAAATTGTAGTAACTCTAAAGCATTACTATTGTCTTCTGTCCTTATCATAAACTATTTTAATTTGTTTTGAATTTTACTATTTATTTTGTTATTTTATTTCAAATTTTAAAATATATTTTCACATTTATCGCATTTTTTCAATTATTATAAAATATTTTTAATTAGAAAACAGATTAAAATATTTTATTATAATAAGGACTGGAGAGAGCATTTGATACACCGGAATTCCGAAAAACAGGGGTCTCTTCAAAATGCGATTTGTATGGGATACTGAAACAACGTAGAAAGAGGGGGAAAAGAGAAGTGAAAATCCGATCGCATTTTCCTACAAATTAAAGTAGTGAAATCTCCGTGACAAAAGGGGTTTTTGCCTTTTGTTCCAGAATTGGACATTTGCCTCTAGGCTAAACGGTTTACCCAAAAAAAAAAAAAAAAAAATTGGACATTTGCGTGAGCAGAAGAAAGATATATGCAGATATGAGAAGTACGCCTAACAATATCTATATTTTTTTATTCATTTTGTTTTTGGTCAGGTCCCTCATAAATAATGAGGGTAGGAAATTGCCGAGAAGATTCAAGATTCTTGTTAGGAGAATTCCTTTTGATCATCCACTTCTGCATTTGCTGCTATAGGGTCTTATTTCTGTCTTTTTTGGTGTCCCAACATTTATTAATTTCTAATAATTATAGTCGTATAAACTCATAATTAAATAGTATTTTTTCTGTCTTAAAAAAAGTCCAAATTAAATTTTACTAAAAAACAGTATAAATATGAAAAATTCAAAATAGACTAGCTTCTTGGGACAGTAAAAGAGCATATAAATATTTGCGAATAAAAATAAATATAATCAAGCATGGAAATTAGATAAAATCTTTCAAAATGTTCACATTAAAATACACTATAGTGATAGGAGGTCGCTCTTACTTTAAAGTTTTTATAGATCGAATGCCCGAATCATCACAAGATAGGCATATACCTGTTACCAAAAAAAACAATGCCTCAAGGTTTCGGTTTTTGATTTTCAGCTCAAGTTAATAATGATCAAGGTTGTTTTCAAATAAATAAATAAATGAAAATGATCGTGGTGGAGGTAATTTCTGTGAAAGGATCCATTCATTCAATTTCATAGTTTACTATATTTGTACCAAAAGCCAAGGTAGAAAGACGTGACTTGTGTGATCATATTTGTGAAGTTAGGACTTTGCGGATGTCCCCATGAGGCCTTAAATGTCACCCTCTCATGTTGTATATATATGTAAAAGTACAAAAAAGAAGAATGCGGTATTTGTTAGTGAAGGAAGAAGAATGGTTATTCATAAATATTTATATTTAACACATTTACACTAAATGATGATCATTTCACTCAAGAACATTTTTTTTTATTTAACAATAATATATACTTTGTTGAATTAAATTAGTTAGTTCATTGGTGTCTCATCTCATTTATAATTTCCTTGGTTCCAACCGGAATTTCAAAACTCTCAAAGACCTGTAGGCAGGTTAATAAGAATGGGCCAACTTTTATCAACGTTAAAAGATGAGGGGCCAGCTTTATACTCATCCAATGTGGTCTTTTACATTTTGAAGATAAAATGGGTATTTTCGTGTGTCGATCAATTAGATATTCATTTGTATTTCCTCAAAGGAAAACATAATTTTAAGAATCAAAACCAAAAGTTGGGATTCGAAAGTGATAAAAAGCTGTCCTAATTTCGACCATATAGAAACAATGCCCAACCAGAATGTAGAGATGTTGCTGCAACAACATTGTCTGCACTTTATGAGAAATCATAAGCCTAAAACTTAAAAGAATTGGTGAAAAGACAATATCATCAGTAATGGAGCTCGCGGCTTAATTTAACTCAACACGATAAAATTTACCAAGTTTATACTAATAATATGGACGAGACACTAACAATTATTTAATTTATTGATTTTATGAGTGGTGGTGCAAGACCATTCCTAGTTAGTGGAGTTATTTGTCTAATTAATCTGGTAAAATGAACTTGACTTCAGCCTGCTAATAAGTTCTGGTGATGGATCCTTTCGCACCTAGATTCTTATTGGGACGGGCTACTTTTAGGTAGCGTAAATTGAGGCAGAAACACTGTAAGAGTCAATGTGATTGTGGATGAGAAAGAAAGAATGCAAAACCCAATTTCCTTCGGTGGTTAAAGATGTGAAAAATATGCACAAAGGTATCGACTTTGGTCAAATTTATAATTGAGAAGGACAAAAAAACCTAGAGTATAAGTTATGGTGTAAATTGAATCTCAACCGTCCGTGTGTATACTAACTTCGGGAGTTCGGATTGAGCATATATTTGAACCTTTGATTTACATTGGGCTCACTCGAAAAAGAAAAAGGGATGGGGAATCCAAATACTGTACATGTATGAACAGACTGAACAGCTCGCCAAATTTTGTGCACTACATAAACAAGGGCGAAGCCACAGTTAGTTGGAAATTATTTTGACAAATATTCAACGAGGTTACAAATTCCAAAACAATCAGGATACCTCCCAAATTTAGTCAATGAACACTCATAAAACAGGGCACACGCTGACATAATTAATTAATTACTTCTTTACCAAGGTTGTAATAGCCAATAAATTATATTCCTTCGGTCCAAAATCATTATCGAGTTTGAACAATAATTTTACAACGGAAAGAATAATATCACTTATTTAGCTTGTTTAAACAGACACCATGATACGCTTTTTGCGATCTAAACTTTAGACGCGAAAAAGAGAGAATAGCCCAACCTTCGATTCACGCGATCGAATGGGTAACAATTTGGTGACACCAGCGGAGCATCCCGAACAGCCACCGCCGCGTCGCCACCACTGCTCCCACCGTTCGGCGAGAGTATCACTTGTGAAATCTGTATTGAGCCCTTTGAATTCAGAAAATCACAGCAACAAACGTTCAGAACCCTAACCAAAAACTGCGGCCCACAATTCCAATATTGCGACGACTGCATGGCCAAATACATCAAAGCCAAGCTAGACGACAACGTGCCTCATATCCCATGCCCGGTTCCGGACTGCCCCGATTTTCTCGACCCGCACGACTTGCGGGATCTGGTCGGCCCGACATTGTTCCTCCGATGGTGCGACGTTCTCTGCGAATCGGCGTTGACGGAACTGGAAAAGAGTTATTGCCCGAATCCAAACTGTTCCGCATTGACAGTGAACGAGTGCGGGGGGAACGTGACGAAGGCAAAGTGTTCCAATTGCGACAAATTATTTTGCTTCAAATGCAAGCTTTCACGGCACGCCGGGTTTAAGTGCGAGGAGAGTTTAAAATGGATGGATCCAAACGACCGTGCTTTTGGGGTTCTTGCGGAACAAAAGAGGTGGATGAGTTGTCCTAAGTGTCATCACTTCGTTGAGCGCATTGAAGGCTGTAATGCCATTAGGTGCAGGTAAAACATTCTTCTCCATCAATCAATCCATCGACCTCAATGCATCTATATCACAATTTAGGTTTAATTTACTTATATTTAGATTGTGCAGAAAGCAAATACTCACTCCCAGTCTTTATCATAATATATTTTAATTTGTCCTAAATTTTTCAAATTAAAAACAATACCTTAAAAAATTGTATTTTCACATCTGTATGCATGTTAGGTGAAATCTTTCACATGAATTCAACTATTTGCAACGTTTTTATAGGGATGATACAATACTTTGGTTGTGACTTGTAAGACTGGGCATGGTTGGTTCCTCCATGCTTAAAATAAACTACTACGACCAACACGACAATTATTCTGGGCGGAAGGGTATGTGATAGATGATGCTTGCAATGCATACATATAGTAAAAGGTGCAATATTTTCTAAATAATATATAATTCCTTTGCTCCAAAATTATTATTTCCTCCGTCCCATAATTATTATCCAGTTTAGATTTTTATTTTTAGTACAAATTGAACTAAAATTAAAAATTCAAACTGGACAATAATTTTGAGACGGAGGAAGTATTTATTTATTTTATTTCACTTTATGTGCAATTTAAACTAAAATAAAGAGAAAAACTAGACGGTCATTTGGAGACGGAAGAAATAAGAAAGACTACTTGTTTTTATATTAGTCAGTTTATGCCTTTTCTTTTGTCCCTTCTTATTTAAAAAATCAGCTTAAATAGGTGGTCATGTAGTAAATCAGTAAGCATATCTAATTGATGTACACTATGTTTGCTTGAACGAATGCAGGTGTGGCACTGAATTTTGCTACGCTTGTGGAGTATCGAGGCGGAACGGGTGTGACTGTAATAAAAGTCCTGCAGTGTGTTGTTGCTTATGTATGATATTCACCTTTCTCCTGTTGCCCTGCATCATCTGATTCATCATCATAAAATTACAATTCAATCTCTCTACTTCTAAAGATTTTGGTGTTAACCAAAAGATTATTGTGAGGATAATCGGAAACTTCATGTTTTTAACATCAGCTTTTTAACTGCTACTTACGTGACATGTAACAAGAAAATTTTGATAGCTTTTGCACTGCAATTGTTAACTTCTACTCTTTCTTCTACATCGAAATAATTGTCCAAAAAGTATATTATTACTTGGCAAATGGCAGTATATTTTTCATTTTAGCTACCCAAAAATAATTGACAACAACCTATGCACCACTATGGCGGGCAAAAAATGCATAAGTATCAACGCTTTT